ATATATAATTCGTTATCGCATTTCACCAAGGCATTTACATTTTATTCGTTCATTTTAATGACCCGAATTAACTATCTAGTCCATTGGCATGCGTTAGATTCGTTACAGTCCTGCAGCAGTTTCTCCACATTTTATTTCTACTAGTATTCACAATTTCCCTATATATATATATATATATATAAGCGGTTTAGAAGTATATAATTCTGCCTTTAAAGTGTAATATTACCTGCATAAATTTGGCTGACTATTATGAGCTCATATGATGTAATAGGCTTGCAAAGAATTGCCGCGGGACTTTAAAATTTGGTAAAACATCACCTCGCATACTAAACCCATTATTTGGTTTGCAAATAGTGGAAATATTTGTTCTTAGTTATTCTGTTTGTGCTTTTATTTAATGACGCACATCATCCTTTCAGTTGCTCCAGCTGTGTTTACTTATAAACGTTTTTTCTTTGATGTGGCTACTGGTATATAAAGCGTCCAAAAACTTCTAGTGATTTTTTACCTTCAATCAGTATGGCTTAAAAAACTGATTTCTACTGTAAATAATAAAAGGCTTCTTTAAATATATCACTCGATGTAGATTACATGCTTTAACAATTTTATGTTTGATTTCGAATCGAACCACTTTCTTAAGGGCGTAGCACCAGGCCAAGACCCAACTATCTCGTGCATAAAAGACATGTCATACGTATTACAATGTTAGCAGTTCCACACAGTCTAACTTTTCCGAGTTTCTACATCTGATGATCCGATACTATCTTACTTAAGCATTGTTTAACTGTAGTAATGACAGCTGAGTGACGACATCGCCCTTATTACTTCCGAATTAAACCCTGACCGTTGTTAGAACAGACGCAACGTGTACTAAAATTTTTCGAGAATTACTTAAAATATGTAATTTGTCTAAACGGGCCCTACACTGTTTACATGGAAAAAAAATCGATACCCTTGTAGTGATCATTTATCGCCGATTGATTACATGACAGTTTCTTCCCTTTAGCCTCAGAATTGTTGACAACAGCATGGATACAGAGCAATTTTGATTTACTATAAGCAAAAAAACTGTTGGGTCCTTAGTTTGCAGCAATATTTATTTACATTGATTACTATTTCGCACTTTAGCACCAGAAAAAAAGACAAATCTCTAGTTCTACAATTCTGAAAACCAAAAAAGGCTGTTAGTTTCAACAACAATTTGTACTCTATGCCCAAGCTTCTATCTGAATCAGCTTCTTGTTTTGCATACGTTGCACCCTGTCGCTACCCCAGATTTCCTGTAGAGTTTTCAGGACGTCTTCTACCATGCGAGCTGCATTACCACAAATATAAACGGCTAACGAATTTTCGTCCTCAGCTATCTTTAACAATTCATCCTAAAAATAATTCAGAAAGAAAGAAATGGTTAAGACTCAACTTTTATCAATGATGGCTAATATTGTAGTGGAAGGAAGCCATCGGTTCAAGAAAAGATTTAATTGCTAACCTACCACAACCTCGTATTTATTCTTTGAAAATATCAGTTTTTACAAATAGCACACCACAACCTGGGACTAGTAAGTGTAAAGTACTGCGGAAAGACTAATCAAGCCCTTCATATTGAACTATTCTTGAACACTGATTGTTTCGTCTGATTTGTATGAGCAGAAGTATCTTTTGTTATTGTGATTTTTCTATATAATCTATCCAAAAGTGTTACAGAGGTGTACCTATTAAACCAAGTATGCTGTTTCTAAACAGTGTCTCAGCATTGCTAGGGCAAAGCACGAGAGACTTTCCTCGTGTAGAGAAGCGTTCCGCGCGTTGCAATACCAAAATACGTACCTTGTGCTCTTTGATTCGTTCCTGAACGTAAATCTTATGTTCTTGATCTCTGCTGAATGCTGTCACCACACGAAGGATTTTACGCTTCTCAAGATCATGCCATTCATCGGCAAAATAATAGTCCTCTAAAGACAAAACAATAATAGACAAAACGACATTGAAACCCATTTACTTAAGTCGATCGGGTCCCTGTCCATAGATGCTGCATTTTCTATAATCGTGTATTCACGCTATAAAAAAAATACCGCTTGATATTTACAACAGCAGTAGAGAAGCTGCAGACTAACACTATAAATAAATACATATGTATTTTATTTATTTTGCGTTTAGATTTTTTACTCTCTAACATTTAGCTCCATATGGCAACTACACAAATTATAACCCAATACGGTATATATGTTACCCCCATAAGAGGTTTACGAATTTATTTACAAATTGTGTACATATGGTAATCAAATTAGTCGAAATTCTCATGCATCCATGTACCGTTCTGTCCCTACGTATATGAAAAAACATTCTAACATGAAAAACCCATATAAGTTATGATGATGAGAGTTAAATGCTGCACATTGGGATTCGTTACTGACACAAATCTGTTTACTTAATTAGACAGCTTTTTTCAAGATTAAGGGCTAAACGTTTAACTGCAGACTAAACCTCATGTCTAAGGTTTTGCATGGTACGGTGTGGATACAGTCCTTCAGACCCGAGTCGCCTTTATAGCTATGCTTATTGAAACTGACCGGGGACTGCTTCAATTACTTCTGTTGCTGACGGTCATATCAGTCGTTACTGACAATGTTGTAGAGTCCAATCGACTCAGCTGCCGCCACCAGAAGGCGTCTCGTTTCTTCAGAGCCTTCATTTGCGGCATTATTTTGACTGAATTATGTGTTGATCTACGCTTCTGTGTACTCTATAACAAAGTATTCAATATGACTTCATTAGTATATATCTTTGCTTCTCCGAGAGTGAATTCAACTTCAATATATTATTTTTTGTTTGTAAAGTTTACTGCTTCATTCTTTTGCAAAGCTACCTTGACATAGTGTTTTTAGATCTAGGCTTCTATCAAGTAGGGTGTCTCATCGGCTCAATTTCATAAAAATTTAAAGGGGCACAGCGTCTGCCTAAGCGATCGATACAAAGCCCTGCGGAGACTGACAGACCTCCTGGATTAAGATTCCTGTCCTTGTCTCAAGGCCACTAGGTTAGGTTAAGTCTCGTTATGGCGTTGTCGGCACCTGCCTAAATGTTCCTGGCTTTCCCTTTCAGGGCACTCACCCATTCTACGGAGTCTACGGTTTTATTGAAGAAAATATTCCCAGTCTGCTAGCAGCTCATTTATCTGTACAGTCTCTCCCTTGTTGATTTTTGAACTCCTTCCTATAAATGGCATAGCCAGCTGAGGAGGCATCCCTTCTAATCCTTTTAGATAATTAGAATACCTATCCGTCATTCTTTTCAATTTGTTCGTTGTGAGACCCCGATATAGGAGTAATCTACACTCTATGTATTCCGAATCCATCGATTCCTCCGATCGGTCACCAACGGCGGCGAGTACCTTCTTGAAAGTGGGAAGTGCCCAACACTCTCTTCTAGAGGGATCTCTTATGGCCCCTGAAGGCACATTCCACCTGTCCCGTGTCGATTTTCCATTGACTTCGCAGTTTCCAACTCGGTTTCTTTGATACCATACTATATCAAACATCTAGCGTGTCCTATGCAGGCGTGATATTAACGCGCTAAATCGGCGCTACTCAACTTGGAGGCCCACGTATCGTACAGAGATAGCGTTCGGATAGGTCTCGGCTATATCTAGCCCGACCTGCGCTGAACGCATTTGGGAGTACCCCTTAACCTCTGTGTTGCCAGTTACAATACCTTTCCAAAGTGATTTATTTCTTACGCGCTTTTACGTGCTTTTGGTCTATACAGCCACCTATGTAGTGCTAGTCAAGGATTTTTTTACAAGCTGCATTCTTAAAAAACTTAAGAATTTTCAACGATTTTCAGGAGCACAAGCCAATAACCTTTTACTAAGTGTACACATAAAGTAAGAAATATTGATGACTAGGACTTCACATTTGCTTCTACTCTGGACAACTGAGGTTTTACTTAAACTGCATTCTGTACATGTATACAACTACAAATGAAATACGGACTAAAAATGTATCAAATATATTTGTGAACACATACTTAGCGAATTACGGCAGCCAAAAAAAAGGATCATAGGCTCACTGGCGCCGCCGACGAAAGCGCACTCCTGAATAAACGCGCGAAATGGAGCGACGCCTGTTCCAGGGCCCACCATAATGACTTTTTTCTGCAGCTTCTTAGGTTCCTCTGCCTCAATTAAGGGAAACTGAAATGTACCTGGAACATCCACGAATACAAGCCCCGAAGGAACCAACTGTAACGCTTATAACGCCATTAAAGGTCTCCTTATAAATTGGTACGTTAAAGTCCCTAGCGTTTTCAACTACTTTAGTTTACTATTTTAAATTTCGTTTGAATAACGACTATATACAGATTGTATTGATTTCCACTCGAGTCCTAGCTGTCAGCTACTTTTTTTACCGTAATTGATTTCGTTTGATTTAGATATTGCTGATCCTATAACAAAATTAGCTTTTAGCAATATGGTATAATCGATGTTCGTTCATAACACGCAAGTTTTCGTGATATAGCTGCAGCAATATTTACCTTTTCGAATGTACAAGTTGACAATGTTTCCCGTTTTGAGATTTTTGAGGAACTGTGTACATAGTCCTGTTCGAGGTTTTTTTAGCATTGTTTTAAAATCCACAACAGCGTATAGGACATGGATCTCTCCTCGATGTTTCAGTGTACTGCTAGCAATGCTATAGTACCTGTTGGTGTAAAAAAAAAACAAAACATTTAGTATTAAGGATATAATATAATGCAATAGCGCATTAGAATAAGGAATTTGAGAGATTTGCGCTCGTTCTTACCTTGGTCTAATCGCTGGAATTAACGTAAGCAAATCCTGAAGACGTAGCCTTTTTGTGATGATAGGGAAGTCCTCGAAAACTTCAAGAACAGTTCGTTTGTGCTTGATAGTGTAATCCATTAATTCGGGTTGGCCATCCGCGCGACTAAACTCGTCTAACTTCTCCCAATACTGCTCTAGCTGAGATGCCACTTGGCTGAAAGACCAAGAAGGATTAAGTTAGATAAAATTCGCTGTTCTCGTTTCTTGAGTATAATCGAGTAAAGATAACTGAAAATAATTATAACTTAAAATTGATACATTGATTTAAAAAAATATCCATTACTTAAGGAGTTTACAGCAAGATTTAGAAGGTAGTCTAATTCGGCAATGACCGAAAGGATAGACAGGACACTCAATCCCTAATTTGCACCTTCTAGTCTTGCACCTTTATCATGCCGTCCTTATTATTTCCAACATTTTCCATTGATAAAATATCACCGATCTAGGATTGCCATTTTATTTTTGGCTCCAAATTTTAAGACATCAATTATAAATATTCTAAATTGACAATACAAAGTAGTTCAAGATCTGATAATTAAAGTTCACCTGTCTGTAGCAACAGCTTTTTCAGTTGCATTCAGTGTATCCATCGGGCGACAGAAATGTTTGTAAACGCTAAAAAACGATCTCTTTGGGATGAAATTTAAGTCAAAATAGTTTGTAACGAGTTTACGGAACGTAGTCCATTTTGTTCGCAGGTGAGGGGGTAATGAAGTCGTGCCTGTAATTCAGCAAATTAATAACACAGATGAATAACATCACACACGAGAGAAAGCAAACGATAAATAACGCGTTATTAAAGTAATTCATTTCATTAAATATTCTAGCATTAATATTCAAATATTTACCGACAAATGCCTGTTAGTTCTAATAGCGTGTTGCCTTAGCTATTAAAAAATACCGATATCAGCGCTTACTTGAATTTGAAAAGATTGAAACATACGATTTGAGTTATTTTACGTTTTTAGTACTAGCTTTACGTCTAACTAACGGTGTTTATGCAAACTGGGCGCCCATGCATTACATCAATAACACTATAAGTAGTGATATGGGCAATCAGGTTATGTTTTTGTCACGAGCTGATTAATATTTGGTTTCCTGATTTTTTTATCTTTAATACCTACCGTCCTTCAATGTTACTGGTTGATCGGGGTTAATGTGTGGAAACAGATCCAGGCAGGCTTGAATTTTGTCAGAGGTATTTTTTGGCAGAATAACGGCTACATCCCCAGGTGCAGCACACGGCTGGTCACTGTAAGCTAAGCGCAATAATCTAACATCTTGAAAATGATCTTCGGTAGTCACGCGCTCCTGAGACAGTACACGGACACTCACGTAAGGCCAAGAACCTGTACTCCTTAAAGGACTTCTGCGCAGATCAATAAACCATTACAGCAAGACGATTTTTTGGTATTCAAACTGCAAAGATGCACGATAATCTAGTGTCGCTTTTATATACATATTGAAATACAAATGCAATTAGAATATTCCTAGCTTGTTATTTATTATCGTTAATATTTGTGACCATCTCCAAACAGAGAATGAGCTAGGATCAAAGGTAAAGGTTGCTCAAACTAGGAATGTAATTGGCTAGTTGTTTCCTTAATATTTATCTTTAGGCAAGCTTGAAAGAAAAGTCGTGTATTTATTGGATTAATCATCCGTTACTCTAGCTGCCAGGGAAGCACGACAATTCAGCGCTAATTTCGATACTTCAGTCTCGATGATATGGAAAAAATATAACTTACTTAGATAACTGGTCTGTGGACGTTAGGTGGAACTCACTCCCATTTATGTTGATTGTCTCGTCCATTGCATCTGCGGGCCCAGATTGATCTAGCTCTGACTCGTCATAAAGGACAACAGAATACCTGAATAAAAAATGCAGAACTTAAAAATTATTTTCTAAGAATACAATTATGTATGTTCGTAATGCACATAGTACCCAAACGCCATAAGGAAGATCTAGGAATCAACTTTCGTTCTTTGCAAAATTTCCTTATGACTTTAAACGAGTGACCGAATTATTAAAACAATCTCGTGGAGTCGTGAAATTAACACTAGGTAAACCACAATTTGAACTGGCAAATTTTTTGGCATACAGATTTAAGTATTTTGTTTACAATGCAATAAATAACTGCATCAATAGATACTTCTCTTTGATTATCCTGTTACTCATACTCGCGTATAAGTCGTCCACGCCGTTAACATAGAAGACGCTAAAAAGCTTGTAACGATTAATAATATATTATCCTAAATGAAAACTCAAGATCAGGGAGCCGAAAACTAGCCTAGAAGCTACCCAAGGGTGCACGTCAAGACAGTTTGTAAAAAATATTCAGTTTCAACAAAAATTGTCAAGTATTAATTAGATGTTTTTTATACAGCTAAGAGAACATGTATTAGTTGAGAATCTTTACATCGTCGGTTTTCTAATCATTGAATATATTTATTCCATATTTTTGCCAACTGCTTTATTCCAGGCTAAGTATTCCTTCTTTTGCTAATATGATAAGCCCACTGAAAAATCAGAAAACATAAGCTGTATCGATTAATATTTTTAATTCAAATCACAAATTCGGCTAAGGATATTCTTAAATAGACGATATAAAAGGGACAATATTTTTTTCTACATATTCGATATTTCGTTCAAATAATTCGCCATTTTTCATTTTCCTTCACTGTAACTTAACCAATGCCTTGAGTTACTAACAAACGAGACTAAAACCTTTGGCGACGTATACATAGGCGTAAATATACATTTAATATCAAATATTCGCAATGTGCTAAAGTTATCACTATCAAGTAGCATTTTACAAAACAAATTCTTTCTTCCTCGAAAACGAACTTAGGTGATGGCATGACATCTGGTAAAGGCGGACGAAGAGGATTTGTAGTCAAATGGGCGCTGGCAGTCCAAAATTTTTCCATCCAAGGATCAATAAGTCCATCTACCCCAAGATCATGTTGTTCGTCAGCCCATACCGGCTCGATAAGTTTTCGCGCGCCCAACTGAATCAGCCTCCGAAACACCTATGTCATTAAAAATTTAATAAAATTCTATAAGTGTGTATTCCATAATGAGGTTACTACACGAATATGATCTTGTTAGTTGTTTTCATTTATTACTGAACTAAACTTTGCTGTTGTTGACGATGGCCTTTTTGAACGTACTTTTTTTGCTGAGAAGTTGAATTTTTGATATGACGAGTCCCCAAGGCCGCATACAGCGAATTCGATGTGCCTGTATGGAATTAAGAGCAAAGTAAGCTGATTAGACTACTGTCGTGATTAAAAATCAAAATAATCCCGCTAGAGTTCTTTTTCAGGTGGAAAATTCGATGGATGCTTGTCGACTGCTTGTGGAGCCCATCGTACTGCAGACTCTCCAAAATAATTGTCGACTATCCCATCAACTTCAATCTCAATTACATAAAAGTGTCACGAACCCAAAGTCACCGGATTGTAGTTTTCGGTTGAGTATGCTTCGAAAAAAGCTCCGCATATTATCCGGATGGTCGCCCTGTCCCGTCGTAGCTATAAAAAACAGTATGAGCTTTTCATCAAAAATCTTCTCTATCGGATACTCGTCACAGGACATGACAACCACAGATGAGAAATGCCGCCGTTGAGCCTCACGACTCACCCGTTCTGCACAATCTTCCGCTGTACCTGCATAACGATAAATAGGTGGATATTTACAAAATTGCAGAAATATACAGTATAGGTTGATCTGAAAATCAGGTATATTTTCCTTGAATATTATTCATTGAGTATTTAATACCGTTAGTGAGTGTAAAAAATAGTACTGATTATTATTCAAACAAAAAACCTTCCTCAGTGTATAATATACATACATTCCACTTACTCGCCGTTAAAGAATCCCTTGCACATTATGAAGGTTTAAATATTGTTTTTTTTTTTCTTACATAATAATTATGCGCGATCGTAATTAGATTATGTACCTGTTTGACTAGCGTAAAGTATGACTAATCGAGGGAAAACACATCGGCCTTTTGCAATGTTGCGGCCACCTTTCTCATCATTTCGTGGTTGTTCCATACCGAGATGCCGTTTTGAAAAACTTATTTTATTAAGCAATCCAGGGCGATCATTTTGCGACATGAAAGCTTCAACTGTGAGAAACAGAAGCGTCAAGCACAAATGAAAAAGGGAAATTGTTAGAGGAGACTGCGAGGAAATTGTTAGAGAAGAGAGCGAGGAGTTACACCTACTTTCAAAATTATTCATTGAAGTAACACAATAAACAGACAACTTCTTTACCACAAAAAACCTGACGCTGAAATTACTTTTATAATAATTTTGTGTCAGTTTTCATATTTCTGAGGGAAGTTCTAAGCCAAATGATTGTTTTCGCCCTTGTGTGGTGTGTCAAAAATGTTTTAAAAACATTTCTTATTAAAAATATATTTACGGAAGTAAAAATAAAAACACTTACCATTATTAAACCGCTAAAAACAACTGTACGTGTTCTTTAGTGCACTGGTTGGCAAAACGCCGCGTACAGAGCAAACTGTTTATATTTACACACCGATACCTATCTGACCAGAATCATTCCGTGAAACAGAAACGGCTGAGAGCATTAACAACGGGTGTAATAACGTCATAATGGGATTCGAATTCAATCACATTTTCTTACTCTGTTTGCCTGAAATCGTCGTCAATTAGACATCGTCAAGTAGACTATCTCGTTGATCTGAGCTTTTTACCGAAATTCTTACATAGAAACCAGCTCCGTGCTTGCTAATCACCTAGAATCATCTAGCTCAAATGACTTGTATCCATTAACTGTTAATAGGAGTAACGTCACTGGCGACAATCGAGAAAGGGTTGAACCGAACAATATTTTTGAGTACTTCATACGTAATTTACTTTGGATTTGAGACACTGCTTAGTAAACATGCCTATAATTGTTTTTTTTCCGAAAGATAAATTTATAATCATTTGTATCATACAGATTATGGAAACCGAAATAAATTTACTTATAACCGAAACAACTTTCACGAGCAGTTAAACTCCTCCAAAACATCGATGTCGAATGCATACCCACTTTTGGCGATTTATCATTTTTGGCTAAACCCGATTCCAGCAAGTTTAATAAAACGAAGTGCTTTGTTACTCCAAATAATGTGGTTATCTTTAATCAAAACTGACGACAAAACTTTGCCAAGCTAACGAGCCAGCTTTCCGTGCATCGAAACGAGAATGTACTTGCTATCTGAAAATCCACACAAACACCCTTAGACATGGTGGTGTATGCCCTGATATATAAAGTTCGTACAACCAAAGGCGATATATCGCTATTCCAGAAGCGTTTTTTTACTGCTCTCAGATAAAAACTGCCAACCTCTGTCTAATACTAATAATTAGTAGTGGATAGATCGTTATTTATATAGCTGACAATAAGAACTGAACAATAAAGGCCTATTTTTCTGCTGTAGTTTTCTTCTTGGGGTTCCGTGAAGAGCAATCATTACAAGGGACACGTCCATAAAAATAGCATGTTTCCAGGAGCTGGACTGCTGTTTGTTTAGCTGGTATGTTTGTATTCGACATTCGCACTAATAAATTGATGAAAATCACAAGTCAAAACGAGTTAAATCATTGCGTGCAGTATATAAGTATGCATTATTGAGTAGTTTTCTGCAAACGAATAATTTATTAGACACGTAAGTATACCATGAAACTGTTTCGCACTTCACTATGTCCATTCAAGATTTTACAGTTTGTGTAGAAACGAAAAATTTTGCATGCAGGTACTGAGATTTTACATGAAAATGAACCATAATTGTGCATTATGCCGTATCATTCAAGGTTACAAAAATATTTACCTAAGGTATCATCATTGAAATTTTGTATTCTGATGAATGAAAAATTGATTGGATGTGTGCATTTATCAAGAAATCTAGATATACGCAGTACCATGTGCTTGTTTTATTGCGAAGTACAACCTACAATCAAGCGCGAGCTACGTATAAGTAATATGCAGTTGAGGTGGGTACCACGTTAATATGCATAATTAATAACGGAACTTCGAAATTTGAGGAATTTTTTTTGTCACTCATTTATTAAACACTGTAATATAGGCTTTTTTCTTCGAGTTCTAAGATGAAACAATTGTTTCTATATTTTTCGCGACAAAAGCAAACTCAGTGTTCCTTACCTAGTTTTAATTATATAGGTCGAGAAAAGCATTTGATATAATTCATTAATGTTATTATATTCAATGGGTGACTGAGTTAAACCTGCATTGAAGCTTCGGTCGATCGGTCAGTAATAATAATAATAAACTCACTTTTTTCTGTTTTTTTTTTCGGTAGGTGGTAGTCATATACCAAGCAATTTTGGGTTGTCCTTCATCAGTTAAGGGCAAGGAGTCCGGTGGCATAAAACAGACAAAATGGCTCATAGTCAGACAAAGCCACTATCAGAGTTGCTAAGGAGCGGAGATGATTCCGAACCTAAAAAGCAAAGTCGCGAGGAGTGGCGACAGGCCAAGGAACTTGAGGAGGCTCGAAAACTCGGTAATGCTCCAGCGGCAGTCGACGAAACTGGAAAGTACGTATTTGAATCGGCTTAAATTTGATTATGTATACAATGTTTGAGACTATATGGCTGTAATCGTTGAAAATAATCACGTTCAGTCTAAATATTTCTCATCATCTATGGTATAAAGGGTAAGGTAATTTAGATCTGAATCTCTAGGGAATAATCGAGTATAGTAGCGGAATATATCAATAATTCTCTATTCTGTTTGGAAAAGACGAACTCAAGAACATAAAATTATCACTACCATTATACATAAAAATATATTATCATCAGATATTCACCGATGAGTTATAAAACTAGATAGAAAATGTCCTAATGAACAATCAGATAACATCGTAACGAGTGTATATTACACGAACATGCCATTCTAGAATATGCCCTTCAACAAAAATATAATGGATGAGCACATGGCTTGTGCTCCTGGAATTACAGAGATCTACAAATTTAGAGTGGTACTGTCAGAATCGGTTAGTGCGACGTCAATATTGACTCTTTCAGTCCTTCTTTACTCCTCACCAATTGTTAGCTACTATTGTTTACAAGGAATCCTGTTTTTTCTCTCTCATCTTCAGAGACATTAATCCTCATATTCCTCAGTATATATCAACGGTCCCGTGGTACGTGGGGAGTTCAGGGCCGACATTGAAACATCAGCGGCCTCAGCCAGAAAAACAGAAAGAGTTCTCATCGATACACGAAGGTTTCCACAGAGGCACATTCCTCAGTAACCGGGCGACTAAGTGGCGAAAAGGTGTGTGGAACAATTTTATGTGAACACGTGTAGGCAACTCAAAATTGTTGCCATTAACTTTTGTTAATCAGATTTTCAGTTCCAAGGTTCAAGAAGTTTTTCAAAAAGATTTCACCGTAAACGGCAGAAGAAAACGTTCGAAAACAGGTATCTAAGCATTTTGAATATTTACAGGTGCGTGCGAGAACTGTGGTGCCATGGGTCACAAAAAAAAGGAATGTATGGAAAGACCACGGGCGCGAGGAGCTCGCTGGACCAATGATGACATTGCCCCAGATGACATCGATCAACCAGATCTCAAGTTTGACTTCGATGGAAAACGGGATAGATGGAATGGGTAAGGTCTGTCGGACCGATTATAAGTAGATAAATAGTATTTTATTGTGGTTCTATTGAAATCTATTAAAACTGTCACAAATCCTTTTTGATCGCCAGCAGAAATATTTAATGCCATATACGTGTAGTGTAATAGTTCCAAAAGGGCTGTACAAGACACGCCTAGTATGCTTGTTGCAAATTAAATCTGACTAGGTAGAGAAAAGTTATCTACTTTAGTCTAGGAATAAAATCGATTTTGATTCGAATGCTGTCTTTATAAAATAATGTGTAGCAGAGCAGTTTTTTTTTTATAACACCAATTTTGCTAATAATGTTAATCCGCAGTTTTCATTCTGCAACTAATATTGATAATCTGATCATCATTGATAATCAGATATGATCCGTCGCAGTACCGAGAGGTCGTTGAGGAGTATCGTCGGGTAGAGGATGCCAAACGACTCCTGAAGGAGCAAAAACTAAAGGAAGAGACCGGTGAATCAGGGGCAGGGAGTAGTGGAAAGCACGAAGATTCGGACGACGAGGACAAATACGCTGACAAGGTTTATAAAATCTGAAACAAATTATGCATAATTGTTGAACTCACTATAATTGTTCGCCGTAATCAAGGTATAATCATGAGTCATGTTTCAACCCATTCGCCGTATGTCCTGTTTGTGAATTTAAGGCGGATGCCCTTACCAAACCAGATTCCAACAAGCTTTTTAAGCTCATTAGCGCTAGACATATTCATGACATTTCGAAAGTAGTCTTAATTTTTTGCAAAAATGAGTTTGTTTTTGATCAGGTAAATATATGCTAGTTTTAAATTGATAGTGAACCTTTTCTTGCTTGTAGATTGATATGCCTGGGACAAAAGTGGACTCGAAACAGCGCATCACTGTTCGTAACTTGCGAATTCGTGAAGATACCGCGAAGTATTTACGTAATCTTGACCCCGATTCGGCTCATTATGATCCGAAAACTCGCTCAATGAGGGACAATCCGTACAAAAATACTGGCAAAACACCAGACGAGGTGTCGTTTGCTGGCGAAAACTTTGTGAGGTATACGGGTGACACGAAATCAATGCTGCAGGATCAAGGTAAATAAAATTATTTAAAATGGATATTACTGAAAGTAAATCACGTGATGAAATTGTATTACTTTTGTATTACTATCGAACTCTTAACCTGAATATGAAATTAAAAATTAACATTTCGCAAGGTGTTTTTGTAAATATAGTCAGTGAATTGCAAAACATGTTTTTCGATCATTTCTTGCTGAAGCACTGATTAGTAAAATATAACTAACCTTTTTATGTTTTCTTTTCGATGAACAGCATTTGCTTGGGAAGCTCATGACAGCGGTGTTGATATTCATCTGTTGGCCGAGCCAACAAAGGCAGCTCTTTTGACGAAAGAGTTTCGCGAGAAAAAACAACAAATGGAAGGCTCTATCAAAACAGCGATTCTGGACCGTTATGGCGGCGAGGAACATTTGAAGGCTCCCCCGAGAGAACTACTTTATGGACAAACTGTATGTCTTAGCTTCTTTTCTATTTTCTATTAGCACTCAAATATAGACTTTCCTTCTAAGGTTTCCACTTGCAAACTATACAACTTCAAATGCTCGCAGGTTTTTGAATCCAGCATGTCAGACTTGTAAATTGATGTCAAAAAAACATCATCCTTTATGTCAGCTTCATGCAAGATTCATGTAGGTATACAACAAACCGTTTGTTTTAAATCGTTTTTAGTGTTTGCAGTAGAGATAATAAAAGCGCGTGAAAATTTTTATTGAAGAGAGAACTATAGATTTAATAGAGTAATTATTTTGAGGATTAGATAAAAGAAAAAAGAGGCTGCAAAGCTGAGAGCAGTAAACGCATGATGAGTATAAATCTCTCACTACTTTTTCTTTTTTATTTTGCGGGTAGGAAAACTACGTCGAGTACTCCAGAACTGGCCAGATAATCCGTGGAGCTGAGAAGAAAATCGTCCGCTCAAAATATGAAGAAGATGTTTTTATCAACAACCATACAACGGTTTGGGGTTCATATTGGGACTCGTTTAGGTGGGGTTACAAATGCTGTCATCAGTTAGTCAAACAGAGCTATTGTACCGGAATAGCAGGTAAAACAGTACGTGAAGAGGCGGTTACGACCTTGAGGCCAGGTGACCTCCACAAAACGACGAAAAAGAAGATCGGATCTGACAACGAGTCTGGTGATGAAGACGATGAAGGTTCACAGCTAAGTCTGGAGGTCAATGCCAAATTCTCCGTGGAGGATGAGAAAGGGGCTGGCCCAATCAGGCTTCCACCGGCAGGTTCGGAAGACCAAGATAAAGGCATATAAAATAATCAGAAAGGAGTAATTGTTTTATGTCGTATATTTTTTTTTGCAGTTGAGGGTAGTAAAAGTCTTATTTTCCAAATTACGTAAATTAACCTTCACTTAGAGTTCATAATTTAGTTAAAAAAATTTATTGATGTACGTTTGACTGATACTGTGAAAAATTTTTTCCCGCCATACATAAAAGTGCATTGTAGAATTTTTCTAATAATAGCTAAGGACTATTTTTCATGTTTGTTCCATTTTTATGTAGTTGAAACTATTTCAGAACTGTCAACCTCACTAGGCGGAGCAACTCTATTAAAACAGCCATTCACAGATGAACAGGACCACGTCGAGATAAAAACGAACGATGCGACAGTGGATGATAAATGCAAAAATAAACAAAAGGCCAAACAAAAGCGAGCGAAAAAGAGCAGCAAGTGCAGTGGCTCAGAAGACGACGGCAGCGGTCAAGAAGATAGCAGCGATGAGAGCAAAAGCGAGGGTGGTTTAAACGATACTGAAGTGGATTCCGAGGAAGAGCGACGAAGCAAACGACGCAAAGAAGAAAAGTGAGTTAGAGGAACACTAATAATAATAATAACAGTTATTACTATTACTATGGTAAATTTGATCCTGATATGGTAAGTTGTTGTGGCAGCTAATTAGAAGAGATGAGATAAAAACATTCTGAAGTCATAGAAATTCGATGTTCGTCCATGGCAGATTTACGGCTAAACAGTATTGCTTGATATATTTTGCTTATAGCTTCATATTTTTGATTACAGGCGTGCCAAAAGGAGGTTGAAAAAACGAAGAAGCAAGAAGCACAAACGGGATAAATTGAAACATGAAAAGTCGCAGGAGGAGAAATTGGCAAAGGTAGGAGAAATACTTCTTTTGTTAAGCTAGCAACTTTTCAATCTAATGTGTAGGCCTAAAATTTTTGTGTTTGCATATAAAATATGATAAAATGGTTAAGCGATTTTAGTAGTAATTTCAAAAAGCGTGCAAAAACAATTCGTTGAAATATCAATGCTTTTGAATTGACCACTCTGAATTTTTTATGGTCGTTTAAACGGCTAACAGACTAGCTGTTAACCTATGCTCAATTTATTACTCGTGCTGATTTCAGGCAATGCGAAAATTCGAAGAGGAACAAAAACAGGAAACGGATGAAAGGAAACGCAAATACAACTCGATGTATGAACACAAAGCTCCTACGGAGGCTGACATGGAAGTTTATTTCCTTAAGCGGCACCGTCCAGAAGATCCGATGACGCATCTATTAGAAAAGAACGGCTGATAAAGGAATTAGAAAAAGTCAATTTTTACATTAATCACAGAACCGCGATATTGTTATATGCACCTGGATTTCTAATGGTTTAACTAGGCGTATATTACTTTTCATTCAAGTTCAAAACTGAAAAGTGACCCGGATTGTCATTAAGAGCTATCTTTAAAAAGGGAATTAGTATTTCTATATTAAATATTTGACGTCATGACTGTTTCTTAAAACGCATTGCTAAAAGCCATTTGATAGAAGCAAGCGGTCGAATAGTGAAACATACCGCTGCAGGCCGCATCGGAAAGAATCGTATTAATATATAAGTTGCATTGTTCCGTTAAATGTACATATTGAACTCATAACAAACTTTAATGTAGATTCCTTTTTTGATTGCTTGAAGCGTACATTGGATCTATTCATTCCGGAAAAATAATTTCAGAACATTGCTTTAAACGTATAATGTATACTTGATGTTTATATTGGCAACATGAAATGAGACCGTATTGTAAATAGAATCTTTAAAATCTAGTGGAAAATCAATATTTCTGTTATGGCCAAGATTCGTTTACTGTCCTTATTGTAGTAAAGGTGTGGCATACTTTTAAAATATTCATAGCTCAGCTTTTGGAACGTTACACAGATATGGATGATGCGACACAGAGGTTACAACTACAGGTTCAGCCATCAACATCTATACATTAAATATTTCAACAATGTAGTCCCTATGTAGCTGTAAGCATATGTGTAGACTAAATGCGTAATACGTTTACATTTCTTTTAGCAACGACAAGACACATATCGGCTCCAAAAGTAAACTTTTACAACAAAGAGAACTTGAATGCCTCGCTACATCGCGCATTTTGAGAAAGGCTTTAACTGAGGTGCTTTTATTGAATTTAAATAGACTCCATTCAAACATACAAGTCCCAAAACCGCAGTATTTTAACAAGTAATGCTAGGCAGATAGCTATCAAAATAGAAAGTTTAGAACGATTTATATGTTTACGAAGATCTTCCTTTGTGGAACTTCCTTTGCCTACGGTCAAGAAACTACTGCAAGTTTTTGAATATTATCAAGAAAGTGACTAGAAAATGTTTAGAAATGAGCATAACTGAAGCACTGTTGAGAAGATGACTGGTTGCTAAGAGGACAAATGAACACTTTACGATAAATATTCCTCCTCTAAGATAAATGATTTGATCTAGGAAGTAATGTTTAAGTTCGAAAAGGAATAAGTATTGAGCATTAACTATAGAAAATCTCTTACCACATCCTTACGCATGATACGCGTTCATTTATATTCGTATGATCATCTTTGAATGGAATTTTGAAAATTAATATTAGTTTCTCCTTGGAACGACAGAATAAACATTTGACTAACTCCCATAGGATAACGGATCAGCAATAACCGAGTGACATGTCAGTAACAATGGGAGGACGGAAAATTGCAATAGCCGGTAAGGAAAGATAGCTAACGGCTCCAGCAAAAACGCTCGGACTATTGGACTTTAAAGGCTAAATGATCAGAATTAACGATTACTAGGCTATTATATTGTTAAAATAAGGAATTAACTACAGCAGAGTAATTTCATAACTAAAGCAGCACCATGGGTTGACTAAGGCAGCGTAAAAAGGAAACTAAAAGCAAATTCTTTTCATTATACATCATCTTAAGGTACGAATGCCTTCGATAAAGGCCTAAGGTCCAATCGGAGGGTAAATCATTAAAGATCTCTGAGGTGGTGCTATTCCCGGCGAGGTCACGACTTGGTTGTCTAAAAACTCTGCCTCTAAAGAAAGCCACTTGCATGAGGGTATAATGTTCTTTGGTTCTAAGTGATGTCACGGTAGATACTGCAGCCTATTAAGTAGTAGGTCATTGCTCCACAGAAATCTCCGAAAATGGTTAGTCACCCTTCTCAGTGGTAGCGTTTTGTCAGGACGTGTCAGGGCGGTTGAGCAGTGAAGTCGCTATGTCGTAATTCGACGCGCTACACCCTGTGTTTCACCTGTCAGATGCTTATGTTATCTATTAACAAATATACTAACGACCGAGGCTACCTGCGAGAGTTGCTTAAGACGGATACGCACGTCAACCAAACACAGAAATATGAACCTAAAAGAGAGATGCGGCAATAGCAAGAAGGGTCCGCTGTGTTGGTTATGCTAAAATGCTTACTTCCATTTAAAAGAAAGCGGTAACGGGCTGAGCGGCGTAGAGGGCAGGCGTCGCGTCTGTACTAAACAGGGAACTCAATAAAATCACTTCGTATTTATTTGCTATAGTACACAGAACTATTGCGCTGACAGCGTGAAAAACAATAGCCTGATTTAAGCTAGAAAGCACTAGGATTACTCGGAGTCTTGAACTCTTAAGGGATATTAAAATGATGTTCAGAGCGAAAGAAGTTACTCATAATATAACGTGTCAGATTTATAGATGTATATGTAGCGAAATACACCTGCACGAACTAATAAGTACGTGATTGCAACTATGAAGCTGAATTAAGCTCGCCTTATTGCTCAAAAAGGGCTGCAGTAGCAAGAAGAAAAGGCTGCGCACTTTTTATATATGGCATGTCCAAATCGAGCTGCGTAATAGACTAATAGTAAGGGTATTTGGAAAAAGCTTTAATTAACCTGAAAAATAATATTTATCGAAGTTTTCTTTAACTTGACTTGTTAGAGTTAAGGTATCTTTTTTATTTTAAATATGTGTTTTTATGCAAATGGCTTCAAACCAACTCGTTGCCCGACTCGGCGACCCTGCCTTTGCCCTCAAAAGCTTCTATTCAAATTAGTTAAATTAATCTTTTTTAACATCCAAATGCAAACTCTGATACTATACCTCTGCTGCTATAGTATACCTTAAAAATTATTTGTCATTTGAAGCCAACCAGTCCCTATTCAGTAAAAGAGACGAGACGGCGAACCCCTCACAGTGTTCTGCTCCTTTGTTGACGCACATATTGAGAATGTCGGGTACGGTTATGTTAGGGATAATTTCGTTCTCAGAAAAGAAACTCAACTCAAAAAAATTGTTTTTGAAAATAGTTTATATTATTATTAAATAATAAATGTATATATGGCGATTGTTGCAAGCCATTGACGACTGATAGATTAAACCACTCAAAAAGTCGACCTTGAAACAGAAACCTTGGCCAGGCGGTTTCAGATAAGTTGGTTTTATTTCAAATATGGTTAATCCAGGGTAAGAAAGTACAGTGAGCCAGAAAGTAATACAGGCGGCTTTGTTATCTGTTGAGTCAATTGTGTGTTGTCATTTCAATCTCTGATTCTCTATTGCTATCCAAGTAGTAATAAAACAATACAAGCTGATTCACAATGCGTGGATCAGTCAATAGGCGTCGGCTTTTTTCAGCTATTTTAAAAGTTTATATCTATATAACTTCTACTTAGAGTCTAAATTCTATATTCGACCAGTTTACCACAACTTGTTTCTAAATATTGTAAGTAATGACCACGGGGAGTCTACTATGGTGGATAGTACAATGCAGGATACCCTGCTCTTCTGGACCGGCTTCGATGGAGACAATCCAATGGACTGCCGCCACACGGCCAGGAAAGCCAACGGACTAGACTCACTGTTGGGGATTTTACTAGGTATAGGATGTAGAGTAAGCAAAATGTAAAACAGTAGTGATGTATGTTATGTTTACTGTACGTAACTGAGAAGGACTTTAACAGCAAACCTAGTAAGCCGAATCGTGGTGTCTGTTAAATGTTCGATCAACTAACTTGAGCAATGTACTAAAAGGACAAAGACAGGCTTTATAGTACTTCATAGTTTAAAACCCCGGAATTTTTTATTGCTTTTTTAATGCTGTTAAGGTTCTGCCAGGTGTTAAGGGGATATTTGGAAGGGCCAAATACTTCAATCCTGTTCACAAACGATATGCAACTAGTCACATCAGAAACGCTGTTACGGCCATTGTGAAAAAGTATTATCTAGTGTGGCACAGAAATAGGTTAGCTGTGCATCTACATATTCGCTAATCTATAGCCTACAGATTTTGAGATGTTAAATGCCAGGGGCTTTACCTTATATGACCTCAATAACTCGAAGAGGTTCTATATCAATTATATAAAAAGTTGCATTACATACAGTGGGTCCATATAGAATATATTTACATATTTGTATACATACTTATCTTTTAAGAAAAGAATAATGCATACATTTTGTTTACGGGCGCCGACCCTTACTTCCAAGTGTCTCCGTGAAGCTTGTCGACCATTAAGGCTTGTCTTGTAATTGATCTGACACGCAGAATCCTACATACGAATTAGTCATTGCCTTGTGTTCTACTGTGGTATCCAGCATCAGTTAACATATGGTCAATATAAAAGACACAATGCCTTCATTACACCCTATTGATTAACTATTATTGTTGAGGTCTTGACAAAGTATTCACAGATGTGAAATTATTATCCATTATTTACGTACTATGCGTGTCTATGACATGTTTCACAAGTATACAGTGGCGTCAGATACACTATATTGGGTCGAGTGTGGTTTGAAATCTGAAACTTAGATTTTCACAGGGTTGTGTGTAACTAATCCGTTTGTTCAAAATATCAACACGAAAAGCAATGCATAAAGGCGTTCAGGCTGCGTGGGATTATATAGTCTTCAGCAGATGCGTTCTATAGATCCAGTCGTTCTCTTTAAATTTTACTATCTAAGACATCAGTTTTTCTCGTTGGTCAACCCTTGGCTTGAAGTGGCTAGAAGCTTCCAGTCTGGGGCCTTGAGAGTCATGAAGTGCGCTTGGTCGACATCGTAAGTCTCAGTATTTTAGTGCGCATGAACTGAGTGTATTGCAGGCAGTGAATCGTAGACTATGGAAAACTTTGACAGATAGAATATGTTTGAAAAAAAGATGATGTGTATTTCTTCTACATCAACTTACACAGTGTTTATATACTACTACGAATTATTCTACGAATATATTTTAAATTAGAACAGCGCTTTTTAGTGCCTCGACTTAATTACTTTATTAGGCCTGCTATATATATATATATATATATATATATATATATAAATTTTAACATGTTTAAGAAGCGCTTTCCTTTATTTTGTACATACTTGTCCCAGCGCAATATTTGCGTATTTATATGCAATTTCTCGACTGATGGCCTTTCAAAGTCAATTGATCGTCATGTGTGCTTGCCCACAAGTTGTCTTTTTTTAGGGCGTAAACAGCCGCGTAATCACATGTACTTAGATTAAGAGAATAAACGGTTTCAAGCCAGTGGTAGTTATTCTTTTTTTTAATGCAAGAAGTGACTTAGGCATGGCAATTACGGCTTGCGTCATCATCAAGTCACCAAAGTGCGTACTTTTGATTGTCGTGTCAAAGATCTATGCGTTTTTTGAAAAACTCAGGACGGCCGCTTGCAGTTATTCTTGCAATTTCGGCGAGTATTTTATGGTACCACTGCAAGTATTAATAATAATGCCACCGATAATGCCACCGAACCCGATTTCACTCCAGGGCGAGGCTATTCTTTCGCTTGGTCACTCTCCAACTGGCGATAATGATTGAACTGTATTTCGCCTATGGGAACCGTATACTCCAAGCGGGCTCTGAATTGATTAAATTTCCCTAAATTGCACATGAAATACACCTCACGTATTTCCAATTTGCCTATAGCGAATCTTAAGACCGATTTTTTATCGGTTTCCGCATTTTTACCACTTGCGTTATAATTCTCTAAAATGTTATGTATAAAATCCCCATTTCGGCCGATAGAACTTTTCGATTGCGGTAATGCGTACTTGTCGTTGGATTGAATGTCGTCATATTCTGGCTACTTTCCATCTCTTCGATTTCCGTTCTTGAAACGTTTTTACCTTTTAAGGCCTCTTTCCTTAATGAGTTCATCGGTCTTTGAGGAATTTTCGCGGCACTATAAACTTCAAGGAACAGAAATCTGACCACTGAGTATCGATTTTCGAGTCTAAAAGGTGCTTTCCTTTCTGAACTAACTTTTCCTTGAGTAGGCTTAACCGATTTTCACTCATAAGTTCCTAAAAGACTAGAGCATTTATCGGTTAATATCGTCTTTTTTTTTACTCAGTTTTTTATTTACTCGGTTTCAGAGTGCATCCCGTTTGCTCATGGCAGCCTAATATGTTAGGTTGTCGGTCGAAAAGTATTGACCGTTTTTCTAACTGAATGGCTTTGAAGTCACATTTCTGAAGTATATATAGATCGCATCGAATTTAATTTAATTTTATTTTATTTAGAAGCTGATGTCTGCTAGTAATGGTAGATGCGCTAAAACTATTGGTATACTTATATTCAGACTTAAGAAAAGTAAAACCTTTAAGTCGAACGAAATTTTTGCAAAAACTCACTATATATGACAATTTTATTTAGACAAAGACACGAATGCTATCAGAGTGCATAAAAAATGTGCACTGTTTTGGTCAGTATGCGTGATCGGAAGAAACGCTTTAAAGATGGTTCTGTCGCTTACGTATTGGAAATTTTGATGCTAAGTGCTCCCTTAGCTCCTTTAGGTGTACTGGTCCACTAATCACAGAAACAGTTGATGAAATTATTATGAAAGTTGATAAAGGCTGACACGTGAATAGCCACGATATCGCCAAGAACCTAATAAAGTTCTATTATATAGCTTTAAACTGTTTGAAGGAAGTTGACTCGAAGAACTGACGAAGGAAATGACTGGAGAACTCGATGTTTCGTTGCATAAGACGCAAAAAAATTACTTGATGCTTTCACTTACGAAATTCTATAGAAATGTCGAGCCATTTCTACAGCTGTTGATCATAGGTGATGAAAAAATATATCATGTACAACAATAATGTACAAATAAAGAGAAATAAGAAATGTACCTCCCAATCGATAGACGAACTGCAAAGACGTAGAAAAGGCGTTGTATGTTATGTCTTGCTGCCGCCTGGCAAAACAATTGAATTGGACTCCTACTATCAGAAACTAACGAGATTACAATAAACCATTGAAGGAAATAACACAACTACTAAATAGAAAAGGCGTCGTCTTTCATCATGACAGTGCTAGACATATATCCTTAGCTGCCCGGCCGACACTGAGAGAACTTGGATGGGAAATTTTAATGCATTTGCCGTTGAAAAGTTGACGAATATAGTAATTTTTTTTTACTTTATTCTTTTATCAGGCTAGGGAACTACTATAGTGATTGGCTTTTCGCCTAGAACGACACAAATAGATATTCAACATAGTTACACCAATTTGCTTCTACGTATACTTAGCAGTATTTAGGTTTGTGGTAAAAAGAAACGTTGCCACGAAAAAAGTTAAGCTTACCTTTGGCAAATGTGAACAGAAACTCCCGTTGCGTAATTTTTATTAAATATATAAAAAAAAAATCGCTTAACATGCGAACTGTGTGATATACATTTGGATACAGACATTCAGCGGCGAGCAATAGTCAGCCTGCACCACAATGATAAGTATTGTCGCATTAAAATAAAAAGATAATCTTATTCCTTTGTATTTATATACATGATCCGTTCCTTTAGGGAACCTATTTTCCCTACATGGTTCCGATAAGATTATACGTATATCTAAAACTTATCTATCTAAAACGTATCTGATAAGATTAAAGATTCTCTTTTCATTTTATGGGGATTAAGCATAGGTTGCACGCATGCTGTACGGTTGCGTTTGCTCATCTGTGGCTTAGTATGTCTCGTGTTACAGCATCGCGAGATAAGGTGTACATGAGAAGACTATGGCACAAATCGTCTATTAAAACATATGCCGAAGGCATGATTTTTATCTCTTGGATAACTTGTGTCCTAACGAGAGGTGGATTACGCGGGGGTAGCGCAGTAGGTTACGCATATAATTACGTAGGAGAAAATACCTTAATGGTACTGACTAAATATATGTGCTTAGGCTTTTCTTTATCGACCCTTTCCTATACAGAGAGGAAGGGTCGAGGCAAAAAGCCTTATATTTAGGGATGTGCGCCACTGGTAAGCTTCTAGTTCCAATTTGTTATCTACATTCCAGTGCAAGTTTCTCAAGTTTAAAAACGAATATAGCAAAAGAAAAATGTGGAATTAATTTGTGCTTCACCCAGCTGGAATCTGCCGAGAAAAAAATTGGAAGATCGTATCTAAGCGTCAAAATTATGATTATTATGATAAAAAAATACAATCGGAACGATGGCGGATTTCGGTGAATTTTGGAAGTTGGGCTGAAACACGTCCAACTGGTGGAATATACCTGGTAACAAGGAGCACCTAAAAGACGTTTTCGAAGATATGCACGTCTCGCAGATGACACATAACCTTCTTGGAATTTATTTGACAATCACAGGTGTGTGTTCTGTAAATAATCCTTTCCAGTTTTATTAGCTCTCACAGTTCAAATTTATTTCTGCATGTATTTTTTTGAAAAAAACGACTGAGACAAATTTTGACTGAGCTTAATGTCCTTGGTGTCGAATTAGAAACCTATGTACCTAGTATGAAGAAGTACATATGATACATGCGTACGTTACAAAACAGAACCATGTAGTCTAGATCAGGTCAGTTTGATAGATCGACCCGTATAATATGTATTAACACTTAAAGTGTTGGGAGCTATTGTACTATTATCCCTCATATAATTGTTCTTTTTATAGGAATTGTCGGTTTGATCGCCAATTTTGTTGTGTTGGGCATGTTTTACCGTACACCAGGCCGGCTCTCACCATCCTCGATGGTTTTGTTGAACCTCACGGTCTCTGACATTTGCATCTTGCTTCTTGGGTTTCCCATCCATACGGTGGTTAACTTTGCTGGAAGGTAATTTCTACTTTCTAATTTGCATAATTAAATAAAGATCCGCAGAGTTCGGGAAAAGCTTTGCTGAATTTGTTTAAACCAATGATATAAGACTGCACTTCATTACAAATTTGTTAGATATTTCGTGCAACTTTTCGTCGTTATTATAAGCGTACTATGAGGTAACAATTCTGGTTACTGTATAGGAAGATTCTGCCTTAGTAAAAGAGGTTTATCAAAATAGGCAGGAAAATCTGGTGATAGACAAAACAGAGCGCAGCTTTTTTTAAAGCTTTATTAAACGAGGAAATTCGATGCGAGGCAAACTGTGCTACATTAGCAGGCGCAATGTTTGCGCTCTTGTAGTAGCAAGTTCGTCTGTAATCGCTGATACTGTGGAAGCTAACAAGATGACCCGCGCGGACTTTTTTGGTATCGCCTAACAAGTTGTATAACTCTACTTTTTGGACTTCGAGCGATTTGTCTACTTTAGAACGTTCTACACTCTGTGACTACTACTGGAGCCTTCACGAAATATCATCAACGAATGGAATGGTGAAAAACGAAATTCCTCATCTAAGTATAAAAACAACAACAAGTAGCAAAGGGCACGATGTATAACAAAAATCCATGTGTTCTACTCGATATTCTAGAGAAAATGATCATATAATTATTATAAGGCTGGGAACAAGGTTCATCCGCCGACATTAATATAATCTGTTTGCAGGTGGTCGTTCGGTGATGTCGGTTGCGTTTTATACGTTTTTTTTGGGTTTCTGTTTGGAACTGTTCATATTGGCACGCTTTCTGTACTTTCGTATGAACAATACCGCGCTATATCAGAGATAAAACCAGATGCAGTGCCCACGCAGAAGTACCTGGGTAAGAAGCAAGCTTTCCAAAGCTATTGACTTCGTTAAATAGGCAGTTTTTTTCAGATCCTGATTCTAACGACGTACTTAATAAATACACTTGTGTTTCTGAAGTCAAAACTTTAACGACTGAAGCTCTAAGTTGCTTGACGTAAAAAATTGACCGAAAAAAATCATTTGATTTCAAAACCATTCAAGATCATTTCATGTTTACGAAATTTGGCATACATGTGTCACCTTCTATTATTATAGTAACCTGAGTATCCCATGTAACACACTTGCAAATAAATATATACATTTCTATTTTGACTCCAAATATTTTGATCCTTGTTACTCGTTTTGTACCCGAGAGTCATTCAAATTTATGTATTTAAAAGCCAGCAGATTTCTGGCTATAATGTTAGTCCGAATGCCATTTGGTTTATGATGGAATTGTTTTTAGTCCTTTTCGATCCTAATACATACCTCAACTAAACACATCACTAACAGCCATTTTTCCGCAGATCGTTTACATCGCCGTTACGTCATCTATATCACGTTCATCTGGGTATTTGCCGTCTTCTGGGCGCTTTTGCCAGTCATCGGATGGAGCAAGTAAAGCAATACATGCGATCTTAAAAATAAAACAGTCTAAGAGCTTTTTGTGATATTCACGTATTTTGTTGGTGTTTGCTAAGCATTCAGTTTCCTACCTGTTAATTCTTTTTACTCTCCTTGCAGGTACTATTATGAGCCCTATGGGACTGCGTGCACCATCGACTGGCAGCATAACAGCGCGAGATTCAAGTCGTATATTATAGCCTATTTCATTGGCGGCTATATGTTACCATTTGGTTTAATGGTCTACTCTTATGCAAAAATAGTTTTCATGAAGCGCGCTTGCCGAATCGTTAATCGACGACAGCTTTAGTTCCAAAGCGATATCATTGCGTCACTCAAGCAAATCCAAAAAGAAGATCTTACATGGGTTCGTATGGGAAATATATATGTATATATATCGAAGGTGCAGGATAAAAAATTGTCAAATATATATGTATATCAATTGCCGGACTTGGCCTGTTAACTAAGTGTTCCGGCTCTTGCCGCGGTTGCTATCTTCGTCCTGATCATTGCTGCAGGACTGTATAGCGTTCGAAGTACTACATTAATGGCTGTCTTCATTAGGATAAAATATATCTGTAGCGTGTTCGTTCAGCTTTCATAACCAAGTTTTTATTCTTCCGAAGGGTTATGAGCTAGTATGTCATACGCTGGCCATTTGCTATGCTCTGGCTACATTGATCAACGGGATTCGAACGCATGGCGTACGTACCAAAGTTGTTGTCGCAGAAGCCGCGCTGGTGCGTTTGTTTTCTTGAATTCAACTGTAAAAACTCCTTCGACTAGAAGAACCACGGATGAGTTAAAAAATACCCACTGGCAACCGCAACTGGTCGTTATATCTGTCACCTAGGCTCCTCCTGGCCGGCTTCTGGGTAAAAAAAAGGAGCTTCTGTTAATTCGATTCATACACAAAACATGACGCACTCTCTTAGTACTACAATTTTGTGTTTCTACAAAAAAAGAGCGACTCCCAAAAGTCATTCTGTTTAAGATACTCGCGGAACTAAAGCACACCTTCTAAAGTTCGGAAATTTTAATTGTGGGTATCACAAGGGCAGACGGACGCAGCACCGCAAGCTCTATCATGAGCTGGCCGTTAATCGTCAAAGACCGCGATTTTTATCGATAAATTTTTTTTTATACACTAGTGTATGTGGTCAGGTGGACGTTACTCATTCATTAGTAGGTTAAAAGGTAGTTTTCGTAAAAATAAATGAAACCGTGATCGAGGGACTGATTGTGGCGTGACATACATTTCAGTTGGCACTTCTCCGATTTCCGATTCTTCCTGACAGATTCCTCCTCGACCATGCGTTTCATTAGATCTGTAATATAAGTATTACCTATCGACTTATTTATCTACTGATTTATTTATTAACTTTAGGCTACGCCGCAAGTGGGCCTTATTTATCATTTCTATATGTTAGTACGATATCCTCAATACTTTCAAAACTGTCACGCACTCTAGCAATTTGTGTCTATATACCGACATCATTTCTCAAAACGCAGTAAGGAGATATACTCGACGGTGTGGCAGAAACGAAAACAGTAGCTGATCGCTTAGATTTTTAATGTTGTCTTGCAGGAATATGCGTAAAGGGATGATGGGCACGCTTAACAAAGTGACATTTTCGCCGGCTGCACACATGAAGGACATAAATGCATGCCTGCTGTCCTGGGACAGGTACATACAACCCGCATCAAAGAAAAATAAAAATGCCTACTTGGATGACCAAAAAGCATAATGTACTATATAATATTATAGAATAGCACCTTGCCATAGATGAGTATATATTATAGAAGAGTACCTTGTACCATATCGTAGAATAGGAACATACGATCGCATATGTGACACCTCACCCAACCTAGTCGTAGTCACCGGATCACTTATGTGAGTTTATTGCAGGTGCCTGCAACCCGTAAGGATAATGTCGTGCTGTTCCCAAATGTTCACTCTCCTTATTAACTGTTAAGATAATACTTATTCTAACATGATCGATCCTAGACCTTACTTTCATGGCCATTTCCCTTGTTTACGTTTGCATTTTAAATACATCCTAAGGAATGCTATTTAAGTGAGTCAGCGTCATATATTTTCAGGCGATTATAATCGCGTGAAATTAGATGACGCTGATTTACATCATATCAATTTAGTAATACCAGTTTTTTTTCTACTCAAACAGTTTGGTAATTGACTCGACTTCAAGTACTTACTATGTCTCACGATTTTGTAGTGGCAATCACGACAAAAATAGCTGCCGTATTACGCTCCAAGGAGCAACTCCATTGAAAAGTGATTGGCTAATATAATAAAACAATACTTTTGTACATGTAAAATTTATTGGCTTGTACCAAGTACACTACGTTTTCATCATGTGAACCCAGTTCATTTATGTAAAAAGAACGAAAAAAAATAGTTTTCTATGGTAAGAGGATTTAATTTTTTCGATCAGTAATAGAAAAAGTTTTCTGAAAAGAAAACCGCATCTTTTCGTATTTTTGTGTGTGCAATCACCTGAGCGTTGTTCTTGGTGCGATTTATGCGCTCATATAGAATATGATTTCGGTAGCTTTAATGCAGACAGCGGCATTATTATTATGTAGCAGTAGAATCTATGCAATATTGCTTGCCAACCGCATACATCTACCAATGGCTTTTATTAAAGCAACGAACACATGCAAGAAAGGTGTTTCACTGCTTGGAGAAACTAAGTCACATAGATTTTGTTGTCGGCAACACACAAACCACTGGAGAGTTGGCGAACTGTGTTCTCGTCCGAATTGCGTGGCTTGATCGTGTGTTTCTAGGAGGTCGAGCTCAGCTACTTATTTTACGTGTTTCTGTGCAAAATAAGGAACCAAGTTATTCTACTGTATAGATGTCCAATGTCCACTAAGCTCAACTTATGTTATGTTAACCAGCAACACGACCTGTTGGAAACAAACGATGTTATAAACTTGCGACGAGCAAATCGGTGCCTCAACTCGGCGTGTTCTTCCAGCGGAAAACAGTTTATACATTTGTATTAGTGCGCCAGCGAGTCTTCTAAGATATACAGAACGATTTGCGCGCGAGTGCTTTACTGGTGATAGTCCGTTATATATATATTGCTCTCGCATCGTCTAAGTGACTATTGCGATTGTGGAGAAGACAAAGCGGTTTTCAAAAACACAGATTAAGAAAGTGAAGACGTATTAACCCACATAGACTTCATCATCAGTAAGTCGTTCTTTGCAGTGGAAATAAACGCCTAATTGCTACCGCAACAATAGCGTAACCATATGTTCATGCAATTGGAGAAATATTTATTGAGTCAGTCTGTGAATTGATTTACGTATTTATTTTATATTCGCTACACTTCCCCATTGGTATGCACAATAAACGCTTCTGTAAAAACAAAGCAAACTTAGTTATTATTTTTTCCTCCGTCAGAGTTGTTTTTCCTCTGTGCGACAAATAGAGCCGAACAGCATAACAAATAGCAAAGAGAGCCGAGCGCGAAATTCCTGCACACCCTGAATATATTTACGCATATGCAAATAGATTTATATACACTCTACATACGCTCCCACCAAATGGTTGATACATATGATGTGCCTTTGAGCTACATGAATAGTTTAAATAAAGTGTGAAAGCTTGTTCTTGTTGTTTTATTATTATTATTTCAGGGAGATACGAGAGGAAATGACGGAAACGTTGGTCAAAGTGCCGGTTGCATACTTCAAATACACTAATGAATCTCTGCTGCTTTGGAAGAACTATATGCGGCACAGTTCAACCGCAGATAACAACAACCGTGGAGACGGAAATTATAGTACGATATATTATGATAAAAAACATCATGTCAAACAGACGTTATCATTACACACAGATTGTGTGATGTGCAGATGCAGTCGATATGATATATATAGTAGCATATATTACATAGACGCAGTTGTACATGTTATTCTGTTGTTGGCACATGGATACACAGGCGTCAAAAAAGTATCGAGAATGTGGCTTTGTACCAACCACACGTATCTTAGTTGTCCGCTCCGACCGATACCCGCAGAATGCAACGAACGTATGTACCGTTTTTTTTAAATATTTAGAATAGTTTTTAACCTATTTATGTTAGAAGACCTCAGCGTTACTGCTGTTTCTTTCAATTATGTGTTATTGAATTGTTAATATAAGATAACTTCAGCGTTGATTCATAGCCTAGTAGCCAAAAACCTGCTGTATAAATACCATTTGCACGGCTTTTAGCATTTCATTTTTCACGAAAAGGAGTATAGCCACAAATCGTTCGCTGCAAAGGTTTACACAATACAAGGTACAAGCACAACGTCCTGAACACCATACACTGAATAAAGTCTGAGTCTACTCTCGGCCAGTTGAATCAAGATTAATATTTCATAATGCCTGTCGTCCTCTATGTCTGGCGCGATTTGAGCCGCTGTTTCTTTTATAAGTGGGGTCAGGATGCCTAGTCCAAAATCGTCATTTACGCCCAGAAATCGTTACGACAGCAGTGTTAAAACTCCTACTTCACTCTGACGTCCTACCCACTGGTGGTTATATAATTTTTTCCCAAAAAATACACGTCAGGCCGCAAAGTTCTTTCCATGACTCTGACAAAGGTTTATCGATAGGTGTGTGACTATAAATGTTGTTAGCTGATAAGGTGCAGTATTTGGGTTGTTCTCTGATTTTTTCAAAGCCGTCGAGATTCCTATAAAGGAATACATAGTATGTATACAATAAATTACGTATGTTCGGTATCATTATACGAATCATATATAATGAGAGGATGCTCCACGTTTAGTAAGTATCTGCACGTCGTAGGTAAACAAACGTATTACTTATTGGAGAAAACATCGACCTACTACCTATAAAATGCAACGCCATGCTGCTAATTATCCTCATTAGACTGTACAACAAGTTCTACTTTTTCATTAGAACGTAAGGTGGGTCACTTCGATGTGAACTTGGCAACCAAAAAAAAAGTCAATAAGGCCTATCGTTTATTCACCGCCTACCCGATGCGCTTAGAGATAACGTTGATTTCGATGCATCTTTCATATCTCTTGCTTGCTCTTAACTTACCGACAATTAGGCGTAAGGAATATAAATAGTACAGCCTGCCACTTGAAATTTAGACATTGAATGCAATGCCATGTGGCGCTAAGTACTTTATAGTTAAATATACGTTGAAAACGCGTAGTACTTGCATTCAAAGGACTAGTTTCAAGTGAGTTAAATATGCCTTCAGGCTAAGTGAAGAATCAACTATGAAACTTTTTTGAAGTCATGCTTTCTTAAAATCCCTATCTGTGAACAAGATCTGAGTCCAATGAACAACTGTTTGAATGAGCAAAACTATGAGCTTAATAAGGTTTTATTTGTTTTCAGTGTCAACAATGCGGGACCCTGATACATTTGATGCGTCTAATTAATGTGTGATCATTAGCACAAATAGAGTAATATACTGGATGATAACCTTTTAACGCAAATTTTGATACTTCATTAGTGATTTACTATTTTGGCAGCGATTTTGGTATAAAAAGTAATTTTCAGGTTACTCACGATAAAGGTGCCGCTAGCAATTTCATCTCTTTACATAAGTGCATTTTAAAACCTTATTCCCCTTCAGGGTCCAAGCAATCAACAAATATTTACGCGCGGTGTCTCTAATGTATATGTACTACCCTGTAATTGTGTTACCTACCAACGTTTTGGGTGGTTTTGTAAAAAATAGAAAACCTATTTGCAATATAAATTCAACAAAATTTATCACTATCGTGATGTAATTGTCGGGTGTTGTGGGATAATCTTTGGTACAGCGTCTCATGTTATACAGGGGTTCTTCGTCATCGAGCAAATGTTACACAATTATTCTCTGAGTGCCAAATATCTCCATCATAATCCCACAGATTTTGTGATATTCAGCTACGAACATTAAACTCCGAGCAGCTTACCACACAAGTACACCAAAAGCTTAGTCACATCATAGGTCATACTTTTGGTCTGATAACCGTAGTGGGGTTACGGTTGTTTGATAATCTTCGCATTGATTGATGCAATCTAGCCATATATATGCATATATATATATATATATATATATAGTAATTTGCAGGTTTACATCATTTTCGTCATTGAGCATAATACGATGTAAAAAATAATTCTCACGCTACTCGCAATGAGGCGCTATCTATAAAAAGTCCGGGGCAGAAGTTTCATAGAAATGCTTTCCTAAATGGTCCTATCTAGATATATGGTCTCTTCGGCGGCTGAAGCTAAGAAGTAAAAACCTATGCTACTCTGTTGAAACAAAACAGCTTTTAATTTACTCCAGTGAAGCCTGGGACATTTCTTCAAGTCTACGGCCGATGCGCGCGTTACGAATGTTTGTTCGCTTGTGCGCCAAAAGAACATTCGACATTGTGAAATCATGCAACATTGAACACTAATGATGCCAGCACGCAATGTGTGAATAACACACATGCCGTGACCAATAAAGTTTCTTCTATAATGTTTTGGGTATTCGATAAAGACAGCTTGTAGTGGTTGAGCTCCTACCATGTATTTATGAACGGGGTATTTTTCGGCGGAAATCAATTTATGGGAAACAACCTTAATAGCGCATACATGACTCTCACTGGCTGTCGTCGGGCTTCGAATAAGCACGACACCGTAGAACAAGCACCATTTCTGCCTAAATAACCAATTTTGTTGTCACCGATTTGATGTAAATGCAATGAATAACGTCATATTTTATCCATATGCATCAAGCTTGAAAGGAATTCTACAGGTAACATTGGCACCAATATGCTTGAGCATGATTATAAACGCAGAAGTCTTTATGGAAGTTGGTGTCGATTGCAGTGTTCGGTGACGGTAGCGGACGTAAAATTCAAATCATCGTAAAGGATATGATATAGAATAGTTATGGAACTAAATAAAGCTCATTACAAAACTGAACGTACTGTTTGTGATGAAACACCTCTAACGCTTTAGAACATAACCGTAGTAATTACATACCTACTTGTAAATCATAAATTAGAAGTGATACGAGATGAGGCAGAACTTAATGCTTAATTCAATTAACATACTACAATTATCAAATTGAGTCCAGGCTTCAGCGAAATTGTCAATGCGTTCAAATTCTTTAACTTTTGTGAGAATCATGCTTTTGAAGGCACCTTAACTTATAATAATCACCATCATCGTTGTACAGGTATTAGATTAGGTAAAAGGTTCCCCTTATTTTTTGTAACTCCCCGATTTATTGTAATGTTCGATTAAACGAGCACATCTTAGTCGAGGTGCTATTCTTCGCTTCCTATGACTTTTGCTTATCATTCTGATAACTGATACACCCCAGTGAATATGAATGTTTTTGATTTAGGAGCTATCCATTTGCGGACTTCAGCCTCTGTTCTGAAGTATTTGTTTCCTTCGACAACTTGCATTGACCGAAACACATAGGTAATAATTAGATAGAACGATGTCCGGACTATGAGTCGAGTGGAGTAATTTAGCGGTTCGTTCCGTGGCTTAGTCAAACGAACTGACCTGCGCAACAGTCTCCTATAGTTCTGTCCTGAGTTAGTAGTAGTCACAACAGTGCCCCACTATATACAGGGGTGCAATCTTTAATTATAGATGCTTCTTCATAGTGACGAACTAGAGATCTGTATTTTATCTTGCGTTTTAGGTTATGATTCAGGGCTGGGACCCATCTTTCATCGCTGCTAATAGTTATATCCATATATGACTTGTTCTTTTGTTGTGCGAGCAATAAAGGGCATATTGCCAAACAGCCTCCTTGTCATTTTCACTCTGTTCATAGGGATCCACCTTCCTTCCCTTTCGCGTTTCTCTTGTACATAAAAACAATTGATAATAATTATTTGAATCATTCCTAGCAGTGTGGAGAGCTTTGGAGTCGAGCGCGTCACATTTTGTTCACGGAATACCTGCAATTTGTCGTCGTTCGGTTGTTATGGCCGTCCGAGGCGTGGTTTGCCGTTCAAGCTGAAATCCGCTGTTCTGAAGCGATTAGACTTAGACTTGCAAGTGGTAGCGTTTTTTGCAGGTTGCCTTCGATTTCTCAGAGAATTCTTTGTGTCGAGATAGTTCTCTCTCCAGCAAAGACAGTGTCGGAGATTCATATTTTTGGGTTTCATGACTGAACCCACCGAATCACCATTTCAAAGGAAGCAATAGCGCGCACGCAGACAGTCAAAACAATCATTCTGGTAAGTTGCAGCTGAGGGCTAAAGGTTTTAGCTTTGCGTCCGATGCGGCTATTTAGCATTCTATCGGACGATTGCTTCTAAGCGCGAAACGAAGTGTGCTCACGCAGTGGGAGCTTCCAGTTAAATACGATCAGCCAGTTCAACACTAGCACCATCCAGTGGAAAGTTTTTGTTTAACCAAATATTACCAATAACAGTACAACAATGAAAAAAAATCACCGAAATCGACTCTACGAGGCGGTTGACTACACGAAGCTAAATAGGAAATTATGTTTCTACTTAAATTCAGAATCGTTTGCAACATTCATAGTCAAAATAAAAGCGGCAATATATCCTACAATACATCCCTAAGATGTTCTTGGCGGGAGCGCTACAACAGATAAAACAGATAAGTAATATATTTATTCACACAAACTTTTGATATACCCGAAACGGCGCTAGAACAAGCTGTTAAACAAATTATTTATCTCAGGTCAGGTTGGCCATAGATATGCAGTTTTTCAGTTACTTGCAATAATTGCGGCCACTAGTAAGTGGGCTTTTTCACATCAATACTACAAATAAATCCCATCTCCCAAAGTAAGCCAACAAACATTCGACAAATTCTATCTACAGTCTTACATGTGTTATTGTGATAGTTTGTTGTCTACAAGACATCAGTATTCCCTTGGATCTTCTCACACTGAATAATTAACCTCTATCTCGGCCATATCCTCAAACCAGCTTACCATTATTGTAAGATAACTGTTGGCTGTTCTGGGATACAGCGTCTCATAGTCTGCATAATTCTCTCCATTGCGCAATTAGTATTTGAGGGACACAGATCTCACAAATTTCCCCTGTTGCTGACCCGCTAGTGTTGTTGGCAAGATTGAGGCTCTTAGCAGGATATTAACAATGCGCAGAAGTAGCGTAGCAGCCGTAGCTCAAGAGACGAGATTCATTGAGAGCGGCCACGATTTCTTACCAACTGCATTGTTGTTAATCCGCTATCCCCAGCGGGTTTACAGTTTCTTGAAAATTGGTACTGACTTATACACCATATGTGTACATGCTATTCAGCTAAATGTTTTTATTGTATATAATGGAACGTAAAATGCAGAGAGAGGTCATTTCTCAAATTGTGCTAGCTAATTTACATTCGACACATAGAGACTTTCTTTGCCATTGTTGATTGACGAACCACGGGCTACTGAAGCGAAAAGGCAACTGGTTTTTCTCAAGTCTATTTCGACGTAAACTTCGGTATGTTTTCAAGTCTATGCTTGATGTTTATTGTGGCGTTGGTATTTTTTTTTCTTTACCTATTGTAGATAGCGAAAAAAACATACAGCCTCAGGAATTGTGAAGTCAAGCAAAAATTAATATTATTTTAATGATACAATGATAAAAGCATACAGCGAGCCTGTTTGTGCACTACACGTAGTGTGTGTAATGGAGCTTCATCCATAAAGACCACCTGCGACACCGGCCAAGGACAAACAATTACTCCGATATATGTTTCAGCTTCCAGAGATAGAGGAACTCGCACATCTTTGCAGAAGAGACGTTTGTAGCTGAAAGCCAGAGACAATAATTTTGCTGCAGACAATTTGGATAGTACACAAGTGCATTCTGATTAATTCCTCAAGAATTTCATGACAGCTTAGATACGGGACGCTTAGATATCACTGTTTCTGGTTTCTACATAAACAATTTTCTTTTTTTCCGCCGATTTAGCATGGTGCTGTAAACCAAATCATGTTTTGTCGATTGGTCGTATGCTTTGGCCATGATAGTATTAACGATTAACGTGAATATCTTTATTTTTTTTATCTACTTTGTTTTTATCGAAATTAGGACGTCGAACACAAGAACTTCACTGGTTAAAACATGACGCTGTACAGGCTGTTCACATTGTTAACTATAAATGAATCGAAAGTGTCTGGAATAGTTATGCAAGGTTCCTACTCTCGCTAACTTTAAACGCAGGAACTTTGATGTCCTGGGGGGGGGGGGGGGCTCGAATGATACGTTTGCAGCAGCATGACAAACGCCACCGTAATATTGGATTTGAAAATTTAATCTGAACTATACCCATATACAATTAAAATAAAAAATAAAATGCGGAAGAAAAAAATAAGGTCAAGTCACCTTATTCACAGAAATCCGCCTTCAAATCCAATGAGCTACTATATCCCCTATATAATGAATTGCTCTGAATAAATTCGTAAAAACCGTCGTTTTTTTATACTATATACTACTTTGTATACTATATTTTTTTGTACTAGTTTTATATATGAGTGGATACAGCGATACCTACGAACGACTCAAATCAATAGGCGTGTGGACAAATCATTTTATTGCAATGTATTAGCTATCAATTTGGCAACTATATTTTGATACAAATTCAATATTAAGTCCGAATCTTTTGGAGTAATATTTGGTCGCAAAAAAAAGTGTAATACATGCCCAAAAATAAGTCTTTTTTTTGTACATACGCAAATGTGTTGTTGTATGTAACAACGGTCGGAAATTTTTCTTGTTTGAGTATACGTTAGTTAACCCGTTCTAACTGCGGGCAAAATGTGGAATAGTTGTGAGCCTAGGCAGAGCTACCTGCTTTTAGGTAATATGCAACGCGCGTACCATCACGGAGAATGTCCCCTAGTTTCTAATGATATTATACCTCACATGCAAGTTAGAAACTAAAAGGTGGAACGCAACGATGCTAACGAGATAACACGGCCTTTTCGGTATTAATTTAGCTTTCATTGAATTTCTGCAGACGGGACCTATGGATACTGCAAAACGTAAAAAAATTTGATCATGATATAATTAAGGCCTGTATGTATTTTAAAACTATTTGGATTTATATAGAAACGCATAATTAAATAACCTTTAGAATGTATAACCTTTAGAATTGTGCCAGATAGCTCAAATTCGCATTCTTTCGGCTTTAATCTATAAGCCAAGTTTTGGATTGCCCTACATTTCTTAATTCGACTTCAAATTTAAGCAAAACTCAATTCTTCTAATGCCCTTAAGTGTTAGCATAACTGTAGTCTACCCTTATAATTGAGTAGTCTGCTAGAACTGGGTTTGGTCGTTTGTTTCACGCTCGAGAGACCTCACGCTACGCATGGGTTACGCTAACCTGGGCAAACTTACAAGTTGGATTTGTCCGCGGGTACTTCAGTCACTGGCTGAATATCCTACTCGCACGGGGACGTTTACCATTTTTGTCGAGCTAGGATACAACTGCTATTGAAAGTTTTCGTGATATTTCGCAAATGCTGAAGGCTAGCTTCGTTCAACAGTAACCTAGTGGATGCCTAATTCTCTATTGTTTCATGTTACTTTGCGGATATTGTGAATTCAGGCGAACGTCAAGGGATCCTAGGGCCAGGTCGCATCGTGTTGTGCATCGATAATATAGTATCCATTCTTATGCAACTACCTACACAGTTCTAACTGCTGATTTAATTGACACACATGTACAGCATATGCAGATCGAACCGCTGTCACCAAGGCTATAACGATAGCCAGTAACGTTCGTCTGTTTCGAATCGCGTTTTCAATATCGTAGGTTCGCCTCTTATGCGAAACACGACCAGCATTTAACATCGCTGTCCACATAGGGATACTTTGGTGTACTGTCAGATTAGCCTTCAACGGACGACACTGATAGCGAAAATGCACTTATAGCAGTACAGCGTGTACTTTATTCAGTGCAAGTAAAAACAGGTAAAGGTTGGATACCAATTGCTAAACATCTACAGGTAAACCTCTCTTAAACAGTCCAGTGTTCACATTGTTGGTGACAACATGGATTACAAATTGTAGGCTAGTCCAGTACCAGATAAGTTTAAGGTGGCTGTAATCTACTACTACTAAGGCAGGTCCTGTGAGGATCTAAAAAGTTTTGTCGAATTAAAACAATGTTCGTTTCGTTACGGTATAGACGACACCAAGTGTAACCAACGATTTAATTCAGTTGTCGAAAAAAGGCAAGATATAAAAATCGTGCGCGGGTGAGTCGCTGTGTGAGGTAGCTCCGGTGTGTTTCTGCAAATAGGAGTCCGAATAATGGACAGAAAAGAAAATCTAGTGGTCGTCTCATGGGCGCTCGTGGCCGGAGCACTACTTGTTGGTGTTACACAAGGTCAAAGTAAGTATGCAACAGTAATAAAAGAAGGGAAAGAACTGTTGGTTTAATTTTTGTAGGCATGAAACAGGGTTACGCAAGTGTTGCTTTGCAAGTAGCTACAATAGGTTATTAAAACGACGCAACGACTGGCAATTACGACCCGAATCTTTGTTACAATAATTTCCGCAATCAACGGCAAAACTTTTGATATAGCTAAGTGTACGACATGATGAACTCATGCGGACTGGAGAAGGAAAGTAATCAGGGACATTCCTTAGGCTCCAACTCAAATAGTGGCGCCTGATTCGTATTTAGTGCAAGACCTACCTATGATGTCCCGGGTCAGTAGCAAGCTGTGCGGGCTGTCTCTGAATTCAAACATTTAGAATAACGTTAAGCCACAAGTATTCCATATTTTAATTCTATAACAAATTACGTCAATATTCTATCTACGTAGTTTTTTCCCTTTTATAATAGACAGGGCCAGAACTGATAAGCTGCCGCCTCGCTCCTATATGTACACATTTCAGCCTTCTAATTTTGTGTCTGTCTGGTAATCTCTGCCGCTTATTATAGAATATCCATTAGACCATAACCGCCACAGCTGCGTTACCACATACAATCGTACATATTTGAGCGGTGCGATTGTAAGTTCGGCAGTCTATTTTAATAATGCCTTTGTGTGCAAAATTTTCTACAAGGCCAAACCATACTATATATATATATATATATATATAATTTTTCCGCTTAAATACATGGCTCTTTTCCTTTCAGTAACATAAACTCAACTAGTGTCAATAATGGATATGAGCCAGAATAGCAAACATATCGTCATAAGTCTCTAGGCAAGCATGTTCAAGCGTCACTATGACGAAGAAGGTAAAATGTTGGAGTGACATATTTGATCTATGTCAAATCGGCCTTAAATAGAATTTTCCTTAAGCGTAGCTTTGTTTCATTCATATTTGTGTGCATACGTAGTTCGTTTAGAGTGTAAAAAAGTTTACCGCCTGTATGTGTAGCTAATAGCTAATACTCAATACTAATAGTTCATCTAATTTATACAGCTTGAAAACCTTCCGACCGATCACGACATAGATGACTTCTTAAGAAGACGCGTCAAGTTCATAGCTTTCTTTACTTGAACCAATTATGTTATTACGTATTACTGACAAAGCTTTGAACAGCGACTCTTCGGAGACTGGCAAGACAGACAATGTTAAGTTTTCAACTGCACTCAAATACTGTCCTCGTTTGCTGAAGATTACATATTCCTTGCGGAAGACAAATTATATGTTCACGGATCTTTGACGAGCTTGTCGTAACGGCTGAGAACCTCTAGCAGAAGCAGCAATGTTTAGTGCAGCTCAGAGGCGTAAACCTAAATTGCCTTAATAAAAATAGCATCGACCTCCGTTTACTGATACAGTCTGAATGGACTGAATGATCTAAACAGTTTCATGTTATTCCAAAACCAGCTCAATACGTCCTTCGGCAAAACTAGGCGATAGTTGCAATGTACCGAATCGTGTCTTATTATTTTCAGGAAGCGGCAACATCGGCAAATATCAGGGTAAACGATTAGGTTGTTACCAGTGTGACGCCGATTTCACTTTCAACGCAGAGCCCTATGCGCACAACCACAGTTGTCTTGTTGGTCCTTCTGACCCGAAGGAGAGAGAACGGGGAATTGCACAGTGTAGCCAAAATTCGAGATACTGTATGGTAAGTCTAGTGGCTCTGCGAGGCCGTGTATGCACCTCACGGTCTCCACTCTAACGTTCGAAGAGATCCTAGAACCGCAAGTGGTAAGGCATTTCAGACCAGAAGGCTGGTCTAAAAGCATGCTAAGGTAGAAGTTGAAGCTGCGTACCCCATACAAAATCACTTACTGGCAGGTACGAGGAGAGTATCCTTGTATATACGAGAATAGTATACTTGCTCTAGATAGACATGATGAAAATACTCATAGGATATTCTATTCAGTAACAGATGTTTAAAATATCTATTAAATGACTATGTCTAGTAATGCATATACAAAGCTAATTGAATTACTAACGTTGTTTACAACCTAAAGTCCTTACTATAATATTTAGTGAAAGGGCCCATAAGTATCTTAGATGAGCGAAGTTTCTTTCTTCGTGCAAGACGGCCATGTTCAACAAAGCGAGCCGTAACATGTCGATGCACAAGCATCATTTGAGCAGTGGGTTAGTTTATTCGTACATAAGTAATGGACTGCAAAGCACATTTTCGCCTGTACCTTGATTATCAGGCGGAGGTAACACGGGTCAACCGAGTGCTGACGAAATTCTCACGAAAGTGCGCCGATGACTGTGTCACCAGCTGCCTACAAAACGGATTCGCTATGGATAATGAGGTTGTTATTCAATATATATATATATATATATAAATAATTAAAGCGATAAGTTAACCCTTACTTCATTTACAGGCAAATTATCTGTGTAAATACATATACATAAATAAGTTCAAACGAGCGGTCTAAGGCTATTCACATACTGTTACCTCACAAACACAATAACAAGCTTTGCCTAACTTAGCTTAAAATTATGGTTAAGGCCTGCTATTAGTTCTAACACAAGAAAGACTTACTAAATCTATTATGAAAGTCTAAATCTATTATGAAACTTCTTGCTTTCAGTCAAAGTGGCCTCACTCACTTTTAAACAAAGACTTTTGATATATTGGGTCGTAGAAAAAGTAATAATTGTTGTTCCCGCTAGATTACATTAATGTCACTTATTTCAGATAACATGAGAGTCGCCGAGTCGATGTCATTGAAAAACTGAGTCTTAGCAGTAGCAATTGTGGTAAAATGACTGGAACGCCTTTATTCAAATTTAAGATAGAGCGCCTTTAAGATGAGTGAGAATTCTGTAAATATTTGATATGTTCTATAGTTCGATTAATCAAGGCATTGATTTATTAAAAATTGATAAAGGCACATATGACACACAGACCTATAAAAAAATATTATGCTGTTTAGGTTCAAGATGCGTTACCGAAAGAGACGGTCTAAAAGATCTTTGAATGTGAAAAATGCTTCTTGTAGTGGTCGATCTTATACGGCAAAAATTTATGAAATTATCGTAGCGAGAGCTAGCTAAGCAAGATATACACGTAAATAGTTATAATAATATCGGAAAGAAACTAAATATCCCCTACTAAACGGTCTTTAATAATTTGAGGAAGGATAGCTGTCTGCCAAAAAAAGCTCGATACTTGGGTGCCACACAGATTGACGCAAAAACAGTTACTCGATTGTAATTCCATCTGGAAACGCAACGAAATCAAGCCATTTTTAAAGCGGGTGGTCGACGAGTGAATCACTTATGGCACGAATGTAGAAATAAAAAAATCATTTCTACAGTCTCTGTAAAGCCCAGATTGACGCTAAAGAGGACGACGCTATATGCTTCGAAAGATTCAAATACGATCATGCGTTACGCATTGATGCAGTCTGCCAAAATAACTGACTCGGTCTTCTATTGCAAAAACTAATAAGACTACAACAAGCTATTGAAAACAGTAAATTGAACAGAAAAGGGGCCGTCGTTCGCCGTGAAAATGTATCAACCACACGCGTTAAGCTAATCGCAAAAAAATTTGACAAATTAGATGGGAACTTTCAATGCATCTGCCATATAACCCAGAGCTTGGGTCATCCGATGATCGTCTGTCTCATTCCCCTGGAGAACTTTTTTGATTTAGTTGCAAGAATCACTTGTAGCAATGTTTCGATCAGAAACCAGAGATGTTCCCCGGTGATCGGATTATGATGTTATTAGAAAAATTCCAGAAGGTCATCGATCAAAATCGCGTATTACATTTAGTTCGTATTATTATTATTTTGTGATAGTATTATTACAAATATAAAAAAAAGTATTTGCTAGAAACAGTTTTGTTTAAAGACGGCTAATATTTTTCGACAAACCAATAATATGAAAAAAAAAGCTATTTTTTTAACTTATGATTGGCCAATACATTTTTAAACTGTAGCCAACGTTATATTTCTAACACAGCTAACTGTGAGCATCACGTGCAGTGTCTTATGAGGTCTTTTTCTAACGAAGTCTGTAGTAAATATTAGATATACAGCAATCTATTATTGACATCGATTGACGATAATAAAATCTTATCTTGACCTAACTTCACATTGTTTCAGGTTTGCACGTATTGCTGTGAGGCATTCGCGTATTGCGCTGAAAACCGAAATAAAATTGAGAACATTCACAAGAATTTTTAAGGACAACGAGCTAGAGAACAATGGCACACTGACTCATATTTATATATCAGAGAAGAGAGACTCTTCAGTTACTAGACAAATGTAGAAAGACAGGCAGTTATCGTGGCTGAAGCTACATGACTAGGTGAAAACACGATGCACCACTTCAAGTTGACCAGGAATAAATTTGGTGATAAATAAACTGTTGTTCTAATAAAACACTCAGCATGTTGTCTGTATATGAGTAATATTTTTAATGAATATTAATCAATTCATCTGAAGTAGCATTGAAACATTTGAAATTTTAGGGAATACGTATGCGTTTTATAAGTTACTAATGCTAGTCATGATACCCTTTATTTCCGACCATCTCTTTCTTTCAGACAGATTTCCTTATGATAGCTACACAGAACGTTTCCGTGGATATTTGTCTAAATTTATGTTTAAGTACCAGTAATGTAATGAAGTACATAATTTTATCTTAAATGTTCTTAAGTGGAAGTTCTCTATCTTAAGTGTTACATCCTACACAACTGCTAGGTTCATCTGTAGAGCATATTTATCTACTGTATCCAATATGTCTCGTATTTTCCTGCATGTTGTGCATCGTCCGATACCTGAGTGCAGGTCTTTTGTAGAACCTACAGAGCATGCGCGCAGGCTAATCGAAAGTATTTATCACAAAAGTGCAACTAGCAAAAGCTCATTTTGTACTCTTACTACTTCGGCTTCTTTTCTCGTTAGACTTTTATCAAATATCCAATAAATTTGTATGAAAAATATTTTATACGCAAATCAGAAAAACACTGCTTGAAGGATAGATTGTTCTAATTCTGTCTCTTTTACGGGCCCTCGTTTACCTAAAGACAATCAACAAACAAACCCTGTCATGGAGCCTAACCAAAAAAAAAGCTTTATGGTTAACAAAAATAACGAAGGACAACTAAATACTTTTCGAATTTTTAAGAAGCTATTGCATTTTGGAACGCTCAAGGTTTAAGGTTTAGGCCCGGTCCTGCGAACAAACAAAATTTTTACGTCTACTCACCACTGTTTCCATTGTGGAATCAAGAATTAGCTACAGTCTGCTCGCTTTCGCTCGCGTGATGAACTGCCAGTCGAGCTCAACAGCGTTGAAAACAGACGATAACTGTACAAGTTAAATCTAAAGTGACCTTACTTGATTTTTTTACAATTTGATATATCGGATTTACTCATTATTGTAAAGTCTGAAAACCTTTCGGCACTATTCCCGCATGATTGGATCATCCTTCCTAAAATTAGTAGGATTTCCGAGTGTTTGTGGTGTCTATCTGGTGGACTACATTGTAACTATGAAGTGTCAATAATATCAACAATAGTTTCTGACGAGTTGCTCTACGCACTTCCTACTAACGTAAGGTTCTTACCACGAAAATCGTTGGCAAAAATTCCGTTCGACTTGCAACTGTCCGTACTTCCCAAGCTTTAAACAAAGGAAGGGTCCATGAGCATTCTATCTGGACAAGAGACGAATCGCGTGGGAAATAAGTTTTTATCAAGTCATGCCCTTCTGAATTACAAGTGTTGGTTTTAGATGACCGGATTAAACTCCAGTGGACATGTAAGCTAAGGAAATGGGACCGCTGCATCAGTGAAGACAAGCTCATCTACTTAACTTTTAGTTTTCGATATTCATTTGATATAGTGCTCCACCAGCTCATTGGTTCCATATTTTAATAGAATATAATTCGAAAATAAGCGTGGATTTAGGTAAATTGCGACGACATATCCCTAACCAATTACTGAATTAAGAAAAAGGTTATGTGGAAAATAGTTTTGCTTGACCTTGTTGATCTCTACGCGCTACTTTATTATCGTAGCCAGGCCACACACATTAAAGTGAAAATCGACTACGCACTCTGCGGAACTTAATCAATAAAGTGCTCGATGCCTGAATCAACTGTAATTGTTGTTAAACACTGATCAAACCAAGTGTTTCTATGTATGGCAGATTCTATGTTGGGCCCTTTTTCATGTTTCCCTGTGATGTTGATGTGACTCGCACTAAATCTAAACAGCAGAAAAGAAGGCGTCATGGTACGATGATGGCGTCAAAGGATGCAATGATCGTAAAAATAAATTGTCCATGTAATTATGGTTGGACTATTAAGAGCCATGCGTTGTTTGAGTACCAAGCAATATTGCGAGGTGGACTATGCTATAGGACAACTTGCGTATTGCCAGTCCTTACCCATTACTAGATCGCATTTCCATTTCTGAGCAGTGAACTGATGTGAGCAATAATCAATTCTATGGAAACGGTGAAGAATTTGTTCTTTGGTGAAATGGTAAAGTATTTAGGAATATGTTGCTTTAACAGTTCTCAATGAGTTTAAGTGCGCATCGGATAAACAACGAATCAGATGATGTTTAGCGCTGGAGCGCAAATGTCTTCGGTGTCAATGAAAAACAAATAATATTAGAACCCAAATGGAACGAACAGGCTGCCGCTGAATAATTATACCTTCGAAATCTCTTTATCGTCGCCTTCGAAATGCTATATATTCTCCGTCCACTATAATTCCGACTGAAAAAAAAGGAACAATTTTTAAAGACGCTGCCACTGCGGTAGAACTTAGATTGAGCTTGGCCAATCTATGGCAAAGACAAAAGGCGCTTTGACAACAATACAGCTTGTAAAATGAAAGAGCAGTCCAAGTATGGAAACTCAAAACGTTCAGTATTGTGAGACCCCCTATATAGAAGATTTGGCAGTGCATGAATTTTGTTGGATGAAATATTCGTCACTGACCTTTATCAAAACAAAAAAAATAAACAGGTACCGAATGACAACTTTTAGAGCCTCTATCACATTGTTGCATACGCACCTTTACGTGAAGGAGATTTGATGTGATTGGATGCTTTAACACATTTAAATACAAGGTTTAACATTACAGAGTTAAACGTTTTAAGATTTAAGAATTATAGCAGTTAGAATTATCGTAATGGTTAAGCAAATTAAGCTGAGCTGATGCCAATTAGATCAAGCTTTCGGTTAGAGCGGAGTGTTAGCTTTAAATGTAATGCTTTTTAACATCGCTAAATATATCGTGTATTTATAAGGATAGCCAGCATTGAACAATTCTGTTTACAAGCATTCATAAACGATAACAGTTAAGCTTTATTGGAATTAAATCATTAATGCAGTGATGTACAGTAATATCATATAGCGCCTTGCTTGTTTCTAATATACGCAGCGCAGCACTCTTCCTCTGCATTAGCTTTGCCGTGCCTTCAGTAGGTAAAACAGCAATTATTCAATGTTTAGTCTTATAAGAAAAGATTCGTATAAAATCAATTTGGTGAACCGCTTGTTACGTCTACGAACATTTTCCAAGTACCTAAATTGTTCTACGGTGCCCCAGTTACCGTCAGTATAATGTGAAACCTGATTACAGGATGATTACACCAAACAAAGAAACCGATTTGCGCGGTTTCTTCAACTATCAGCTACGGTTTTTCTAAAAAAAATGTGGGCACCAGCTGCGTCGTTACATCGTTATCACAAACTGCTATTCCTTATACAGATATAGAAAATAAGTGACAAATTTACGTATCTTTTTTCGTGTATATGCTATGTATCTTTGAAAAAAAAATGCGCAGATATGCCTGAAAAGAGCTTCGTTATGTAGTTACGTTTTCCTTATTTTAACTTTTTTCATCGTATGTTACCGTTTAGAGTAAAATGCGATGGAAGAGCATTTTTTAACAAAGAGCAGAAAACGTGGCCGCGCCCTTTGGGTTCAAGTTGACCTTCTAACAACGTCCCATTAACATGCATAAATCGCATTGTCGAAGCTAGTAAGAACACGTTGAAGGTGGTAACCTTATTACCGAGCTGTTGTTAGGATAAGCTACCAATCGGCGAACTATTGGTAGACAGGTGTAAATCGAGTCGGCTTTCAACTGACATCGAATATATGTGTCTGGATTGAACACGGATCCTTTGTGTTGTGGCACAAAAGGAAACATGTCTTAACAGAGGAAATATATACAGTAAATATATAACCGTCGCGTATTCATCTCTATTTCATTATTCATTCAAAGGTCCTAATTGAGGTTCAAGCGAAGATACAAATGTCCATAAAAACAAAATAATCCATGAAGTATGTTTCTCACATATTTTGTTATGATATTTTTGAGACTGTTTGCGCACTATTCTTAAGCAATATATTCTTGGGGTAGGAGATAGTGTTTACTGTATCTTGATTACTTTGAGTACTTTTCAGAGCTATGGTTGTCCAATAATGCTGTTTAATTTTTGTATGGTTCTACTGGTAACTACAATGTAAAGTCTACAGAACGGCCAGTAGAGTCCCATTGAGCAAGTCTATTAGATCGAATGAATAAGATTACTACCTACGAAGATTCTTTTGGCAACGGGTTTTCGTTATGCGTGTAGCAAAGGAGGCAAAATAGGCCCTGTATTATCGTTCTAGCACCGCCTTATACTGTACTGATATTTCTTGAATTGTGTGTTTTCTGAGCGTTGTAGTTAGAGAGTAAATGAACACGTTTGGAATTTCTGAGTTCGCCGGAAAACTGGGCGACATGGTCAAGACGACCTTGACAGGCGAGGGCACCAGCAGAGCATCTGATTCCCCACCTCCGCCGGCAACACAAACAAATCTAACAGGTAAGCGCCTGTAAGCATAAATAAGCTCAAAAAGCTCTACGCAGATTGTATATAACAGTATAATGGCATACAATCATATGAACAAAGTTTCTTCTTTAACTTAGTTTCTTCATTAGTTAAGTACTTTTTATGCTGCGTTTATACACAGGATGTAGCCCACAAAGCATGTTTTCTATAAACGAGGAGCATTTTGCGGGTTTGGAAGGAATCTTTTCTTCGATCAATACCGAGTCCGAACTTGAGCTAGCAATTGAAAAATGTAAGCAGATGATCTTGGACTCAGAGGAGCATTCCGACAAAAGGTACAATCTCATCGGTAAACTGATTGACTTGCGCTGGAAGCTACAGGAAATGCGGGTACGTTTGTAAACCCAATTAGGCAAAAACAATAATAATTAATTATAATAATGATTTTGCTAAAAACTTTTAACAGTCGTGTAACGGGCGTCATCTGGCACACATGTAATAAAAATTGCAATATTTTCCTTGTAATCGTTCTTTAGCATGGGCCGCAGACTCCATCATTGGAAGAATCGTTTACGATAATGGGACACGTATTTGTTTCGTGCAGCCTAGAAGACAGTGATTCGTTTTGTGAAAAGTGTTGTACACGCATATGGGACTTTGTAAATATCGGAATCAATCAGTACTACACATGTGACAGTGAGTTACTCCTTTCTGATAAAAGATCGCCCTTTGAGCTTAGAGCTTTTGCTGTAATAATGACTAGTTGTTTCACGATCAAATACATCGTGATCTTCTTTAAATTGTATGAACAAGCATTAACCTATTACTCTTGACACCTCACGAGACCAAGGACTTATGCATGTATTATAATCAATGTATACTATGGTTATTTTGAAGTACTTCTTTTAACTTCCAATAATTTCTTAAATACAGATCTCTCCGTTCCGAGTACTTGTCTCAGTTAACGAAGTTGAATTTATAATGATCTAGGACATTAGTGATAAGGTGACCGTTTGATTCTGTACTCATAATTCATTCTAGAACTAGTAAACCTCGAAGCTGTAGTAAATAAATAACAAAATAAATGAATTTATAACTGTTTTAAACGATTAATATTAGTTAAACATGATGTGGGCGCAAGTGTCTACACTTATTTTGCTTTCGCCCTTATGTCCGAAAACTGTGTAATAGGAATTTTTTATATCAGTCAATTTGAATAAGACACACTTTGAAATTTTATTTGACAGGAAAATTATGTTGATTTTATGTTCATCTTAGAATGCCGCTACAAATGTCACCAAAGATGCCTCAACTCAATTACTAGAAGCTGCGCTTATTTGAAGGTAAGCACTACGACTAATTTGTTACGATTATTGTAAGTTTAATACTGACTTAATTTGCACTGTGGCACTGTCGTGTACGACCTTATCGTGCATCAGAGGAAAATTCTCGAAGAACGTGTGATCAAAACAAGCGAAAATCTTACACGCGTCAATGCCAAATATAACCACCCATACATATCTTTGAAGGCAGCATACGGAAACCGATATTCAACGCTGTATTTATTATGTCTGGTAATCCATTTCGATTATACAATGGTACGTTCGGAAAAGTAAACAATGTTCAAAGCACTAATGTTTACAGGAGCACAAATACGAACTGCAACTATGTCCCGAAATGGGTTTGTCCGTACAGCAATTTAAATGCCAAGAGTGTCGGTCATCGCTAATGCCCCCAGGTCCATTGCGACTTTTACCACAAATGGAGGCCGCCCGCAGGCTATGCGATTCTTGCGGCCGCTGGTTCTGTAATCGGTGTCACTGGAACACTGAAGTGGTCATTCCGGCCAGAGTTGTGCACAACTGGGATTTCGAACCCAGGAAAGTATGTTTCATAGTTGCTTAAGTTGTTCGATTTTTGTACAGTACAAGTAGATGCACATGTATAGAAGTAAGATATAATGGAAATAGACGATCTTTATGTATTGTCGTTTTTTATCGGACACAATTTTTAAAAACCTGATCTAATGGAAGGAAAATGAAAAAATTAATTTTATAAATATTATCCTCAGAATGATCATAGAATGACATTAAAAAGCTAGTGGATATGCGGTAGGCGCATGTTAATTATGCTTAATTGTGTGCGTTATTCAGGTTTGCCGGGGTTGCGTTCAATTTCTTCGGCTTATGGTGAAACGATCTGTCCTCGATATCGAGAAGCTCAATCCGTACCTATTTAGCCACATTGAAGAATTGTCTGCTGTTAAGGTGCGTAGGCTATGTGCGCTGTGTGTTTGGCGGAGAGTGTTCTTCCTATTTATGTTGGCATCGTGCGATATTTGTACTTATCGGAAGATAGCATAACGTAACAGTTGTTTGGTGTAAATTTTCTAACTACCGACAGACGCTTCGAGAGGACTTGCAAAAGATGAAGAAATACCTAACCTCGTGTCACATAGCCCAATCGAAAAAACTACTCTGGCTGCTATGGAAGCGTCAACATTTTGTGGAGAACACTAACATGTACTCGATGCAGGATCTGATTGATCTTGAGCAAGGCACTCTGCTCAAGTTTTTACACCAGGTGATAAATGCGTTTGAAGCGCACATCACTAAAGAATGCGAGGTAAGTTTATTCAGGTAACGACTTGCATCACCTTCATTTTTGCAGTTCGAGTAGCAAGTGGATTTCCTAGTTTACAATCGTGGCAAATTTTATCAAAGACAAACGTTTTTGGTTATATTAAATCACGTTTTACCTTATACTTTTGTCTGCTTTTAGGGTTGCCGAAAGAAGGGTTTCATATGCGAGCTTTGCTCTTCGACCGAAATACTTTTCCCAATACATCGCGATAGTACAACTCGTTGTCCGAAATGTCTTTCCGTATTTCATCACGACTGCTTTCGAAAATTTGAAGGGTTCTGTCCAAAATGTGATAGAATGACCCGGAGAGGCTCTTAAGAGGGCCTTGAGCCCTCAACTTTACCTGCTAAACTAATCGACCCAGATGTCTTTTGATCAATACTATGTACAACTTCTGTGCAGTTATATTTCACAACAACTATAATATAGTTACTTTTTCTCACCATGTTAACTCACACACTTGATTGCCGATTGTACAGAGCAGAGTTTAGCTGTAGCGACAAAATTAAGGCGGCCAAAAAGTAAAGAATGAGGGTTGCCTGATTCTGGCATTCATTTGTTACAAAGTATTGATAAATCGTTAGTTTTTTATGTATAGGATATTGTGTTTCTAGAAGAGCACTTGTAATATGCTTATGTGATAAATTCGTTATAATAGGCATAATTGCAATGTTTCTTTTTGGCTGTATACAGCAGTGACATCCTTTCAGGGTGTAACAAAAAATGGCTTCAAATTAATCGTCCTGATTTTTCCTGCTTCTCTACAAACAAACGCTAGCCAAAAGCTTGAATTAGTTGTATTTACGTCCTTTTAACTTATGTTTCAGTCGACTCTGAATGAACTAGATTATGTGGAATGTACAGTTGTAAATTGAAGGCTCTTTGTCGACTGATCAACTTCAACGCTTTGGGTATACCAATGCAAACCGAAGATCATAACGAAAATGACTACATTTCATTTAATAAACCATATTCTCTCTCTATTTAACTATTTATCTTTCAATTTCGTCAATCAATGGCCTCGAAGGACATGAGCAGGGACTTGTTCGAATGTTAAGAATTTTCCAGCTTAAGTTTGTGCACTCTAAGTTCTTTACGGTAATCTTTTTTTAGTTTTACTAAGGAATTATTTACCCTTTTTTGCTGCCTGTCTTTATTCTTATTATATTTGTAAATAGCTACATCGTCTGTCCAACCTTATACTTGCACGGAAAATTTATGCCAAAAAAATACTTTTCACATACGTAGGCGTATAATAATACGTATCTACCGTAATTTCAAGGATTTTGTTTTAATATTTCAAGTATAGTTCTATTTTAGCCTGTTACAACGTTATGTGAATATAAGAAAACAAGACAGAGAACATTGTAGGACCAATACGGACGATTTTGTGAAAGTATGTAACATCTTGTTCGAAGCTATCCCTGCAGACATACATGTAAATCTACAATGTTAATTATTTGATACTATAATATGAGCAGTTATAGCAACCGTACACAAACTGCGTATATGTGTGTGTTCGCACACTGTATGTATATATACATGTATGTTCAGTATGTTATATACAGGGAAAATGGGTAGAATGGTTATCCATTTCTACTCAATGTATGACACATTATATGTATATGATTGCGTGTGTTTTAACAACGTTGTTCTAAGAGAAGGTTTTAACCTGCAACCAATGGTTATATTTTAGGTCCGAACTTTGAGTTTTTTTTATTAGCATGAAAAACGTGCGTGTATCTACCTTACACACCTGGTCTTTGTGGTGTTTAAATTGTTTGTAAATAAGCACTTCCTCTATGAAAATGTACAATTAACGTTTTGGAAAATGTTGAACGTCTGAACGTCTTTTTTGCAGCATGAGACTCTTCCTCTGTTCCGTTACGCACATCACAATATATATAAGCTATGGTAAAACCGAACTGAGTTCTTGTTTAGCTTTAGTAGGAGGAGTACGTTTTGTTATGGCCTTTCAGGCCCTACAAGTGAGACAATTTAAAATGGTGTACTCCGGACCAATGTTACCTGAAGCAATGTCGTTGACAAACGACAGGCGTCTACGAATTTGATTCTGGCCTGAACATATCCATTACGACGGGCTCATGTGTTTTTTTTTGTTTATTAAACTGACCGGCTTTCGATAAGTTTCGGAGTCCGCAAATATCAGGCCTTCTCAGTCGTCTATATAAACGGCTCCGTTTTACGAAACGGAGTGACAGATTGTCTTTTTCGGTTACAATTATTATTTTGCTAAGCAGAGATGGTGCAACATAGGTTACCTTAGTGTTTTTGAATTTCTAACTGGCTAAGGGATACACTGATATATACGTTAGTATAATGGCTGTAATTTAGCTAAACACATGATGACGAGGTATGATCACTTGGTACTTGCTTGTGATACAAAATTTCTAGGAAAATGGTAGAGCCTTGGATTCTCGCTAATGAGCAGGTTTTCGTTCAGCTTCTGTAGCCATTTTTGTAGCCTCAAGGATGTCTTGTAGCTCGAAGACTTGGCGGTCAACCTGCACTTACTGATCTTCAAAGACCTTCTTTGGAGCCTTTCCTTTGCAGAAAAGACAAAAATTCTGAAGTGGCAAGGGCTCCAGGTGACAAGTTCTTAAGGCAACCAGTAATATATAATGTTAGAAGCGTCCTTTATGAACACATTCTGTCCTACGTTAGCGTAATTCTGCCGCGTACTTCAATAAGAGAAGCTTTCTAGTCTGCGACGTCTTTTGCTACAATCAGTTTGCAATTATACTGCCGACTTAGAGCGATTACATTGTTTAGGTCAAACACAAGGTTGAATGAATTAATTTACTGTCGTTTGTTTGATGCTTATAAATAGAGTGTGTGAATAATTTTACGTAGTAATTTCATCCTTATTCTAGCTGTCATTTTCAACACCGTCGAAAATGCAGTTTTGAATTGTTAGCGTCAGTAATGCCAAAACGATTATGGTTTTATAGAAAATTATAATGAATTTATGTGATATAATGGTAAGAGCTTCGATATAATCGGTTGTCTTCAACGAGCTCATGGTCATACGATGCTAATCCGCTAATATGATAATAATAATTCTAGTGTTTCGTCCGGAATCAATATAGCCACTTAAGTAGCGTTATTCTACTACTAGCAGTGTAACATACATCAACGTATATAATGCTTCATTTTTCCGTGGGCGGCGTTATCGCATGGTTGGTCTGCATTTATTGTTACTCAGCTGACGATGACGTAAACACTGTTGAAATGAGATAGGTCTACGTACGCCTACTTTCGAAAACAAAACGAGATTGTTCTTCATCTTGTTTTGCAGCGTCCCTTTCACTTATTGTATAAAGGCCTATCTGAGTAGCTCTATTAGTACTTTTGAGAGTATAGCAAAAGTTACACTGCCGCGTGTGCTTTCGGAGTACGTAAACGTTTATGTGTCAACCTGTTTTTGGCAATGATTTGACCTGTTAATGGTCCACGATGACACTCGAAGCGAATAGCAGACACGTGTTGCTTTATTGTGATATTTAATTGGCGCCGTAAAATGAATAGCAGATTAGCAACTGATGCCGCAGAAGCATTCTTTTTTATTTTGTTATTTTTGCAGTTCCTATTCATTGAAGTTGTTGAAGTGAAAAGTTCGTTAGCTAGTTGAAGCTAATTTTTAAATAATCTGTAACTTCCTACGAAAGGACACGAATTTGCTATTTCACAATGTATAATCAAATTCGAATAGAAGTCCGTGCATAGTACATGTCCCGTTTTACTATGTTTCTCCTTAATATTCATTCAAACAAATTTGCTATGTCTAGTTGTTTCCAATTTCGGGAACTTCTTGCACATCACTCGATTCATTTTCACCTCAGCATGGACAAATTTGGGAACTTGATCTGCCAGATTTCCTAAAAAATGCTGTTGAGTTATGTTGTCATGTCAGTCGCTTTTCGCAGAGCTAGCCCTGTTTTAAGCAGGTATCCAATGAGAGATATTAAAAGCTCCGTATTTATCGATTCTATTAGGTTTGTCTCCATGGATCAGGCTGAATTGTTCTTCACCACATCTTCCATTGTCGACCCTTACGTTAGTCATGGAATTATATCTTTAACGATCCTGTTGTTGGCTGGAGGCCTAATCCTTAATCTGGGAGCAATTTTAGTATTTCTCCAAGTGCCAAAACTGCTTAGGTCGACAGTTAACACGTTGGTACGAAACCTGTTCGTTCTTCACGTCTTCACAACGATTGTTTTAGGAACGCTGACCATTTTTGACTGGATTGCCTGGACACGTAAGTACAGTCCTACCAATGTTTGAAGTACCCAACTTTCAGCTTAGTCTATTAGACACGTGGTATCCGTGCGCCTGTGCCTAAAGAGGCGCAGTTTCTAGTCAGCCGTGCACATTATTTGTTAGTAATAAAGTGAAACTTCATAAATCATTTTTATTGAGTGTCAGTTGCAAAATGTGACCAGACTTTAATGTTTTAAACGATTACTCCAGTTTAAGTCATCGGTAAAGTTCTTCATCTGCGTTATATATATATATATATACTTAGTTTAATTGTACAGATGTTATCTGATAACTGAATGGGAGCCGCCGCCAGTGTGGGCACGGCGCAAAGCCCCCGGTCGCGTTCTAGTTAATTAGCTGAATTTATTCTTTATCTATGAGCCTGTAACGTTTATACCGGTTTTTCGTGTGGGTAGCAGGCTACTAATTGGTTAGAATGATAATCTTCACTCATTCCTGCACTTCCAGTCGTTCCCATATTACTAGGGCATCATATATATAAACCTCTATATACACGTTATAATTAATGATCTGTATATTTTTTCAATGCACAGATGATCGTATTGAAGAGACTGATCAACCGTACGTTTTTGAGTATCGTAGAGCTTATGCTGTAGTATGTCCTTTCGTTCATTTTGCCCGCGCCACGTTCGTTGGTGCTACATTTGGGATTCTTTGGATTATGACGTTAGATCGGGCGTTGACAATATTGTTTCCCAGAGACCCGCACACCATGTTACTTAAAAGGTACCACCTTTTTTTCTTAATTGCTTGCTAGTAGTACTGACTTCCGAGAGAAAGCTACCGCTCTAACTGACGGCTTAAGTACAACGCTAATGCTATTGTGAATTCAGTGCCGCGACATCAAAGACGTATGTTTGTCTAGCTCAATAGTATTAGATTTGTTATGTTGATCTGCGGATTTATTTGGTGCGGCAAAGTAGCAAACCGGTCTCTGAGGTAGTTTGCTAATTTTTCGCTAACCTTATAATAAAAAATGGCTTTTTTAGGCTTAGCTTGTCCTGTTTTTCACAATTTGTTTGTTACTATCGGTTAGGCACCCATCGTTGGCCACAATGTCGGTATGCGTTCTTGCTCCAATATCACAGAGTTTCTATCTTTTTACGTCAAGAAGCGGCGATTTGCTCCATCGAGACTGCGTATATCGTCTCAACGGGCTTGAATGGAGGTACTGCTTATACGCTAACACGACAGATCTCTGACCATCATGAGAATTTAGACTAAGGTTTGTCGATATTTCATAATGTCATTCTATAGAGCTCACTTCCATTGAGTGACTTCGTCGTCGGAGTGTGTATATAGTCGCTTAAACAAGAAACTAGTTGATACATTAATGTGGCTCTGCCTCAGGACAGGTTTCATCATTTGAGAAGAGTGACATACGCGAGGGGATTTATTCGAGCCTATTGTTTGTTTTTACTGTCTCTGAGGGATAGTGTGTTTGCCTTCTATCAACAAGCTGGAGATTATTTTTAATAGTACCACTGTCTGAAAGCTATTTTAAATGTGAAGTTTAGGGTAAAAGGATGCTGTTATCTACTAAACCGTAATAATTTATGTATATGCATATACATACATATCCTCGTCGTACTAAGCCAAGGTATATGTTATTACTCAAACGCAATAACTTCTCTTAGAAATTTAAAAGAGAAAATGTTTTGTATGCTTTTAAATTTAGCAAAAAAAAACTTTCTGTATATAAGATTCCTTTTCTTGCTGTAAATGCAACTCCCTCAACTTTTGCAGTACACTATTTGGTCGAATGAACTTTGCAAACCCGGAACCGTAAAACATTCATGTCCATATATATAAAAATGGATTAAACTTTCCGTTAATATCAATTAAGTCAATAGATTGTAAACTAGCATAAAGCATTGTAAGCTTTCTGCAGTATCGTTCTCTGTAGAAGGGATCAACAGAATAAATAAATGTAGTAATGTAATAGTGGCGGGATGATGAAACACTGTTAGATTGACGTCGTTTGCGGCATACTTGATCCCGTTGCTTCTCTTCATTGCATTGTGTACCATCCTTATGGTACGTCTACGCTCGAGTCCAGCGAAGTCGTCCACCCGAACAATGAACAGAATCGTCCTTCTAGTGATCCTACTCATTGCGTCGTATGCTATCTGTACCGCTCCTCACAAGGTATGATAAAGAGTGTTTAGTTATACTGTAACAGTTATAATCTTTCTACAAAGGTAAGTTCACAAAAAAATCTTTACGTATATTAAAGCGATATCTACCATGAAAAATTCTAAGACGCATATGGGTCGGCCGAAGCTAGTCAGCCAATCAGTTAAGAGTGTACTTAGATAAGACAAAGATTTTGGATTGTACCGCTGTAAGAATCGCCTCTATTATACATAGTAGAACAGAAAAAGATACTCTGACGGAAGACACCTGTTGATATTTATCGTTTTCAGGTTACGGAAGTAGTTGGTGCCCACGAATCTTTGCAGCGCATATCTGAAGCTATGCTTCTACTGCCTGTTGTACTTCACCCTCTGGTTTATTACACTATTAGCGAGAACTTCAGGAAAGCACTTAGGTTACTGTTGTCAGTTGGCTCATTTTAAATTTTGTTCGGAATAATGTATGTGAATGTATCATTTGAAGTCGTTGACATCAGTGGAGTTCGTTGAACTCAATTTAGCTAAATCTGTGGTTATATTATTGAGCACTATGACGCTGTGCGCTATCAAATAGATTCAGTTATTAGACATTAATAACATAATAGTCTGCTATTAGTAAACTAAGTAGGTAAAAGATAAATCCGTTAATATCTATCGGCTTTATTCTAAATAATTTAATCGCAATTTCAAAATAAGCAGTGCAGGATTAAGATTTCTTAATTTTCTTTCGGTATAAGAGCCGGCCCGCCAGAGTAATACCCGGCTAAGGTATCGCTCCGCCATCTTCGAGACGTGTAGGCTACGTAATAACGATTACTGCAACTGTGATTGCTGAAGTCAGAATACCGTGGCTTTATACAATGTCAAGCGTTTGACGATAGATTATCTTAACTTAGAGCTCTGTCAGTTAAATATACTTACTGGTTGTAGAATCTAAAATTTGTTTGTTTCATGCAGCCGCTGCTTTCAGCGTCGTCGTCATTTGGGCCATAGGTCGTACTGTCGTCACGCCCACGCAGGATCGCGTCATGGAGGTGAAGGCGGTGATAGGAGCGCGGCGTTAACTATCACGGAAATGACTACGGCGTTCTCGGTCACGTCCCAAGACGCGACACAAGAAAAGAACCTTCAAATAAACAAGCTTGACCCAGCTATCTAAAACAATGATATCAGCAACGAAACAAAGAACCAGTAGAACTGCCTACAAATGCACATGTTAATACACGACCAGACTTGTAGCTAGATGTGTGTAATTCTTATAATCGGTATTTTTATTTAAAATAAATCAAAGTCATATTCTGAACTTGAAAATTTTTCTAGTTTTAATGGGTTTTTCGTGGTTCATGTCTGGTACCCATATCATGAAATATCACTTCAGATTACTGGCTCCCAGCACGAAACGAAATATGTCTTCACGTGGAAGCCAACGGGAGCAGCTAATCATTTCAAAGCTAGTACCATTAGAGAAGTCACAAAACAAACAAAGTGTTAAATTAAAGAGTAAAAATTAAATATATTATCACTTTATTTAATATCAGTGTATTTTAGTGCTACCAAAGCGAAAATTCGATCAGTCAGTCATACGATAATTTACTCATTTTTGTACGTAAATTACGGTTGTTATATGTGATTTTTTTTTAAATGACACTGTTTTAGATTACCGACGTGCCCAAATGACCTGCTATGTTGTTACACTTTAGAGTAAACCATGCAAGATTATTGAGGTGCTTCAAACACATTAATTGATGATTCATCGCCGTTAAGTTCAATGTACTCCGCAACTTGAGCGGCTTTCTTGATAATCGGCGTTAGAACTTCCACTAGCGGGGCTACGAGAAGATTAGTCAGAAACATTATGGGGCCGAGGCCTGAGAACTTCACCTGCAGCTTTTCGAAATCTCTATAGAGATAATTATGCAAAATGCAATTATAATATTAATCTTCAGAGCAGTCCTCCGATTTCCTCTCGCGACCTGCTAAACTTATCGGCTCTCCACTTACATTAAACCTATTTTTATGTTAGAAAAGTGGCCAAAACAGATTTTATATTCACTAATAGCATTTGCTCTCAGATTAATTTTCAGTTGCCTATTCACTACTACTATCTAATTGACGGAAATAGGTCCGTGGGAAATCGTCTTTTCGGATTTCACCCCCCCCCCCCCCCGATACAACTGAAAAAACAACTCTTCTAGGTGAACAAGATAGCTGAGGATGAGAGTTGCATCTAGCGTAGCCTTTGCAGATTTTCTTCAATAGTGGCTGCATGGTTTCTACATATTCACGTCGGTCTGGAGAAATGAAATATTTATAAGGATCTTAAACGCAGTTGGGAGCGCACGCGATGAGAAGTTAGGTAGGATTATTGAGGAAATAAGTTGAACACCGGTTTGATTACATGCCTGATCGTGAAACGTTTCACCTCAACTCTACCGAGGGCATTACGGTCGATTTCTGCGTCGACAGTGATGTAGCCAGTGTGCGAGTCCATCTTGACGGAAGGCTCAAAATCCATACAGGTAATAGTGCCGTAATATCAATTGCGTTCAATTACGTCCATTCCGAGGCAACATTTAACCTTTACCGAGCTATCGTTAAAAATATCCACAGAGGCATCTCCTGTGTAAAGTACGCAAATCATCGTTAGGTATTGTAATCTAATCATATGGGGCCGCTGGCATTGTTATGCGCATTTGATGTTTATGTGGATTATGGGTCCAATAAATATGCAGATTTCGTGTTCTGAATTAAAGAAGCCGAATAGACCACATATCTATATACTTTTAAACCATGCGTAAAAATTATGCATCGAGGGCCTTGACGTTTGGCTAAAAGATAGATCAAACGGCATCTTTTAGTTTAAAGTCGAAAAAAAGAGAGAGGTGTCTCTGTTCATCTCTCTCACATTCTTCTGGTATCTTACGGTTATTCTAGGTTTCACAGTGTATTACGAATTCTTTTAATTTGTATGAAACTTTCTAAAAACTTTGAACATTTTAATAAATATACGCACCAACCCTGTGAATCATATCTAGCCCTGCTCCCGTTCCATCATGCAATTTTGCCTGTCCGTGCAACACGATCGGACCAATCTACACGAAGTCAAATGATAAAATATCCAATTACCTGTAGATACCTGTACATACCTGGAGGTTTGTATAAAAGCTTTTATGTTCGCTTGTTCAGCCAGCTTATTGTATGGAACACCCTTCCTTTTTTTTTTTTTTATAAAAATGTGCTTGCATTGTATTACAACATAAACTAAGAACGGTTCTAATGCGGTTTATGCCATTTAATGATGAAATTGCAGTAATTGTGTATCTTCAAATCCTTTGTCAAATATTGCGCTTACTCATACCTTTTTTTCAAAGCCAAACTGAATATCATCCGGAGGTAAGAGCGTAAGTGCATCCGTATCGTGGAGCTGTTTTACGGTTCCAACAGCTTATTGCCATCCGTCAAAAAATGTATAAGGTTAATAACGGTAATAAAAGGAATGAGGTTAGACCTTAGGCCCTTCGCATGGATTTGGATCAGTGTAATTGTGCTAGATAATTTGATCAGCGGACGTTTAGATGCTAGAGCCACTACAGAAGCCATTTGTAAAGTACTTACAATTCCTGTGTAAGAAAAGTAATCAGTTTAGCTATCTGTAGAAGCTATTTCCAGTGTAAGATGGCTCAAAGCACTGTCTTCAACGTTGTGCATACAATGCCAAAGCCAAGCAACTTTTGATTGACCGTTGCATTAAGAATCATTGTTCCGTCATTCTAGCAGCCTATGTGCCCAGCGTGTAAAGATATAGTCAAGTCGGATGACTTGCGTCTTTTGGGCCATATTAAAGGTTCAGGCACGCAAACAAAATGCAAAGAGAAGATCAGTATGATTACTGAAAGCCTCCCCAGGAAGGCAGTAATAATAGCCATTCTAGAACTGTGAGAACCTAGATTTGCGGATAGTTAGAGGCCAAGCAAAATCCCCCAACCGAGATAGTCTTAAGTGAAGTGCTTGCCTTGAAAGTATACCGACTACAACTTGCTGATTCAAAAAATATTAACCATTTTGTTCTAACTGCGATAGAGGTGTCCGCTTTTGCCCGCTAAGGGATAGGCCAGCTTTATGGAAAACTAGAAGACGTATTCAGGTTATCACCGGTGTCCTGCGTGGAGGAGAATACCTCGCACAAAATTTATCACCGTGGATTTACGAGATAACGATGCTTGTACGGTAGGCTCGATAAAGGTAGGATTTTCAAAGTAATAAAATACATATTAGCTCTTCACAAGTGTGGTCCTACGAGTACTTCGACAAATTCACACCAATACACTTTCTTTTTCAATAATAGTAAAATTAACCGCTTGGGCAACGTTAAGCAATAGTGGTCAATTTGGCCTGAATCAGTCACAGTTAATCTTTTCGACGGCAAAATAAACTATTCTTCATTGTGCTATTTTTTCCAATGATTATGCTATACTGATTGAGAATATATTTTTCTAGTCTAACCGATTGCATAATAAAATGTCATACCTTTACGCCTAACTCCGCTGATCTTTTTTCATTGATTAAGTTAGCTCTGTTTGTGATCTAGGAACTGTTTGTAAATGGAGCAGGTATTGTTTTAGAGCTCCGATGTACGACTGATAAGAGGCATCTATGTTTTTATTGTTATAAGTATCTATTAATTATTGCAAATTTTGAATGATGACTCACCCGATACAGATTTCTCGTGCACTCTCATTAAAAGAGGTAGTATACAAATCGCTATTACTTGAAACATAAATGCCCTTTTTTTGATCCCTCGACAGCATGGTGAGCTCGATTGAATGTGTCAATTCGGCGACGACACCTTACGTAATGCGCACTCGATATGGCTAGAATCCGTTATAAGGTGTTCGTACCCAACCTGTTTTTCGACAGAGTATCAGTACAGCCCCGCAGCTATGAGAATGAATAAATACCGCGATATTTGAGCGTGTACCATTGTAGTTTGAGCTTACAGTGGTCTTTGTACCTTTCAGCGGGTTAAGTTAACGGCTGCTCCAGCACGTTAGGTGGTACCGCTTCTTTTCAAGTTAAACAATTTATAGATTTTATGGGCTACGAAAAGTTGTTTTCTATTGAAGCTACGGATCAAATGTTGTAAAGCTGTAGCAAAAACTACTCGAATCTTATCTTTATTCCTTTGTGTAATTTTTTTTTGTGTAAATAATTTAAGTGTACGAAGTCGTAGCTCCAATTCCAGTCTGTCCGTCCTAGGGTTTGCCAAAACATTGGTGACTCAGGATGTGAAAGCAGTCAAAACTACGTAGCGATGAATTTTCATAATTTTAGATAATAAAGATCAATGCAATTGATCATATGATTTTTACCTATCGTAGCTTAATCAGATACCTGTATATGATCAAAGGATATCCTGTTATCATTTGATCTGTTCGAGAATGTTACAAATTAAGTTATCACTCAAAGTCTATAACTACATAAGGGAAAAACTGTAAAATGTTTATTAATAATAAGAGACAGAGAAAGCACTCGATCAGTTAGAATAAAGATTATCTAGATAGCGAAAATGATTAATAAAATACAACAGAATAGTTTCTCGCTTACTTATTAGAAATACTGGCCGTTTCTTAAATACGTTTTGTGAGAGGCTTGAAATAGTGGCGATGTGAGTACCACAGATCGACTAATGGTCATAAAGATGGAAATGTCATACGAAATTATACCATGTTATAAATAGACTCTATGACATTTGCTTCAGAATTCTGTTTGTTTGCTTGTTGAGCTCTATCGTTACAACTTCTGTTGTTAGCAGCAATCTCTTCACAAGTTCAATGTCCTGTAAAATAATGCCAATACCTAGAACAGACGATACGAAACAACAAGCTCATGTTGACGCACGCGCAACCTGAATCAGATTCTGTTATCAAGAGGTGGTCAGTATTTGGCCACCTTTATCTATGCCCTAGCTTAAACTAATTTGATATATTTTCTAATCATCAAAGCATTTTCAGTGGGTAGCTGATCCCTACACAAGCAGAGACATCTAGCTCTATCAGCGTGTCATTTTCTCTTTAAAAAAACCGAACGACATCTTGAAGGTGTAGCTGCCTAAGCGATAATTTCATCATTTCAACTTGGTAAAATTATTCTATTACAACATAAATTATCAAGATAATAATTACAAGCATAAAGAGAACTATTGTGGATAAAAAAACATTGTTCACCACTTGAAGTCTGGTGCGTGTGGGGTTCGCGGGCGTTCACTCTTAATGCGACTGCACATATAAATAGCTTAAATATAATATCGAGCTTTCCCATAAGTTCATATCGAATTTCGGATCGGTGCATTTGTATTTTAGCGCTATAAACAAAACCTAGGTCAAAAGAAAAAAAAAGACAATTATTAACTTTATTTATATAATTGACTTTTTGCCTTCTTTTGGACCTGGATCAGATTCAGCCATGTTTCGGTTAAGTTGAACAAGACTTCAAAGGTAATGGCTTCGGTTTTGAAGTTTTGTTTTTGCAAAGAGCTAAACGCAACACAAACTTGTAAGGTATATCGACCGAATAACATAGTTCATTAGATAGTCAGGAAATGGTTCGCTTATTCTGAAATTGACCTCAGCATCGAAGATAGGGCAGGTGTAAGTTGACCCGCTAACTATGAGGAATGGAAAGTTTTCATTTTACTCGATCAGAACCTACGTATGATCTCCCACCGGATCGCGGATAACAGAAACATTTGAATCAACTATTCACTGATATATAACAAACAACAATAGATCAATCCAGCACACATTTTAGCTCTGCATGACTTAATCGATAAATGACAATTAAACCGCCCTTCAACTACTAAACCGTTATTCAGCCGTTCGGCGAGGGCAACCCTTTACTTGTACAGATCCTAACGTGTGTTGACAAGCGAAAAATCTAAAACAACGTCACTCACAACAGATTTGCGTTCGTCAAAATGTAATAGTGTCCTTTGAACGAGAGTCAAAAGTGAGTCCCATCTAGAAAGAAAATAATAATGTGCATTTGGTGGAATTATAGGAGAGCGCTCTATTATAATAATCTTCTATTGAACAACCAAAGTTTTTTCAGCTATGTATTATGGACAGCTCGACAGTTCAAAATAATGCATCCAAAAAAAGCGTTCAGGTATAGCTGATCGGGGCGGAGTCATGCTTCATATAATTCTAGTGAATTAGCAAAAATTGGAGAAGCTTAATTAATGTTTTGCCTCTTCCAATTTGATATTTTTATTTTTTTTTTCAGTTTTCGCAGAAACACCATGCCATAAGGATTTTGCATCCTTAGGTATAACAAAGCTCATTGACCAGTTTATTGCAAATAGATATATCAGCCTCTAAAAGATGCGAACCTATCTATGCGAAATTAAGATATAATCCAATACAACTTCGTCGGTGAAGTTCAACAGGTGATATGAAACGTTAAGGATGCACGGAGATGCCAACTCCAGGTTGGGTTGATTTTATTTTTTGAGCCTATGGTGGTTTATGAACTAATGTACACATGTCCCTGTCTCGAAGGGGTTTAACTCTATACGCAATTTAAAATAATTATTGTCGCGTATCAATACGTAAGTAGCCACCAACGTAACGACGTAAGTGTGCCTTGATTAGAATTAGTTATGAAGCCAGCGTTTTTAAACAAAAAAGTAAGATTTTCATATTATTATTAAATATTTTTCTAAATACTATTCTTGTAGAAAAAAAATTGTTAATTTATGCGTGGGCAATTTTGATTTGAACATGGTCCCTTATTATTTAAGTAATGATAAATTTGACTGGACGACGTCATCGATACGCGGATGGTGACTAGTACGATAAAAGCCTGATAACAAAACAGGCTTTTATCAAGCCAGTTGACTAATTGTCGCTTCACGGCTCTTAACAGGTTAAATTGATTAATTATGATCTGGCGTCATGGTCTACTCCGAACGCGAAATTATCACAGGTAGTAGATGGAAAATTTCTATAATAACAAAAGGTTTGAAAAAACACCTTTAGAGGTTTTTTTTTTCGATTCAGCGGGTGGCAAGAAATTAGTTAGTTTAGACTCAGTTTTCTTCTTTAATATTAAATTAGAATCTCTAAGCTTTTGTAAATGGTTTAAGCTCTTAACTTTTTTAGTAGCTTTTAAAAATAGCCGATGCCTCCGTCTCAAATCAGCTAAGTATTCTCCGTTTCAGCTTTTTTGTACAGGACCGTCTCACATTTCGAAAAGCATAGTTATTTCGTTTATTGATCCTTTGATAGTAAGTACCAATAATTAAAATGCACTATACCAAGATAGGCAAATGTATCTATTTTCCATATTGATGTTAGTCTTCATTTTTCAAATTTTATCCTGCTATCTATTTATCTTTTTCGCAAATTAAATACTTTTATATAGGTACTTCGAGCCATGTTAGGTCTTTTAGGCAATATCATGCCATTCTTAATTCGGCAAATTTAACACGTGTAAACGACGCATACATAAACTGATCACACTGGAAGTTATCGAACGTTAACGCATCTGAAAGAGAATTAAGAAATCTGCAGTGGTTGCCAAGCGTTCCTCTTTTGCACAATTCATAAATGTCGCACTAATAAAAAAGTTCAAAATAGAAAAATGTATTTGTGTTACAGTAAACTCTACCATAGGTTAGCCGACTGTGTTCTCCGCCTAAATATGTTATAGTATATTATAGTTAGATCACCTATGAAATGTGCGCAGTAAGATAGCTGTCGAATAGAATGTCAAACGGAAACTCCTGCACGTTTAGCTTAAAAACCGTCGTAAAGCTTAGTTCCGGCGGCTTCCACTGTCTGTTGTTCAATTTCAACTAGTTACTCAAAATAGGTATTTCATTCGAGATAGGTTTCATTGAAGCCGTTGCAGCTGTTTCCATTTCGATATTCAAATATGCCGCGTACGGCACCAGTATGTTTTTTAATGGAAACTACGGGCTTGTTTTTTCATATATTTTCATCGATAATGGGGCTTTGCCGCGTGAGTGTTGCCGCTTGTAGTTCTATCAGTCAGTTACAAAACTTTACAGGACGTGCAATCGAACATCTTTTGTGTCCAACT